CTAAATACTAGACCAAGCCTCCAGGGTCTGACATTGGAGATCAACTGTCTGTTGGAATATGACAAATATCCAATCCAGGAAAATATGTTACCAGGATACGAGCAGTAAAGTCACTTTTGTTGTTGGCTGGAATACCTGGTCCTTTTCATAGCTATTCAGAAACTGACCATTCTGCAGAAATATGTATTTACATTTCCCAAAATTGCATAGTGGGGGTCTGTGGGTTTTGTAAAAACCACATGGTTGGATTTTATATTGCTTGTACTATATGTTTGCTTGTAATTTGTAGCAAGCATGCTTTATATGTTGCAGGGAGAAAATATTTTTATGGCTCAAATGCAAATAGTTTTTTGTGAGCAGTTTTATGTTCCACTAGAGATTAGCTCTTAAACAGGTTCTGGAGAAAACATCCTCACGTCAGCCAAACTGCCAGGATATTTCAAAGATCATAGGGGGGCCTACAGTGTAAATGCAAACATTTTGAGATGTATTTTACCTAATGTGGGTGATTAATACTTTATATCTACTGTTAATCATGCACTGCTCTAGTAATGCATCACAGCCGGAGAAATATAGCGTGCAGAATGCTGGCAGTCCTTCATTATGTTGCTATCCCATGTTAACAGCTTGCTGCTGCAATATCAGCCTGTTCAACTCCCCATCATAATATAACTCCTCTCAGATTTATACTCAGACTTCTCCCTGAGCTCCATCTTTGTAGTTGGACCACAATCTGCTGTTGGGGACCAGCCAAGGCTCAGTAAAGCAAGCTTTGGGTACTCGGTGTGACATGGAGTTGTGTTGCTAATTATGCCAATTGTTAATGATAAAAACCACTAAAAACTAGTGCTGTTTGAAGATTTTGAAAACTTGTTGATGCAGTTGTGTTTTCTGGGATTCTGGGATTATTTGCTTGTTTAGAATTTTTAATTTTTTTTTAAAAATGTGCTGGGTCATTTTTGTAAGCAAGCTAGCTAATAGCCAGATGAAGGCAAGCTAAGGATTGGCTTTGATCCCTGAAGCCAACCAAACATTTCTTCATCTATCTAGTGCCCCATTCACATTCAGTAGAAAAATCTGTCGTTTTTCTGCATGATGTTAACTAATGTTAGTTTACCTGCTAACACCAGAATAAATTTGACAAGCTTGAGTCGAGTATATTCATAACACCATAATTTTTTTTCTTTCAACATTGGGTGTAATGAGTGAGGGATAGATTTCACTGAGAAACTGCACACCCACAGGCTAGCAACTTGTGAATCACACAGAAAAGCAAACTTGGTTTTATTCTCTTTCAAGGGGGCCCCATTACAATTGGGACCATAATTTACTAAATGAAAATTATATTTTGTATAAGATATTGAGACGATCTTTTACGGAGGTCACAGACAAAGACACTGAAAGAATGGAGGTTTACAGTACTTTCAGACCTACACATTTTACATATAACACAGACTAATTGTGAGATACCCCAAAGGCATGCATGGCCGTCTTGCCAAGGCAACTTTTTTCAAACTCATGTGGAGTTTGTGTTGGAATCTGTGGGTACTGGGAGACACTGTGTCCAGTATATGTGCATTTTTTAAACACCAACATGGTATTTTTACAACAGCAAACCCTGTTTTTGGATTCTTGAACTGGTTAATGTTCTTAGCATGCATTCTGGTTTTATCCAGAACATTCACCAATTTTCTTATGCAAAAATATTTGAAGGCCGATAGTTATTGTTAAGGCCTCAGACTTGGAGAATAGTCAGAGACCTGGTTGCTAGGGTCACTTGGTGTATTGCCCAACCACTTAGCAAGTGGTTGCTCGCTGTCATTGAGTGAAATCTGTTGCTAAGAGGGTTCTGATACAAAGCCTGCATGGAAGAAGCTGATTTGTCTCGCTGATTAACCATCTAGGGGTTGTATAACTTGAAAAAGCACCAGTTGCTACGCATTCTTCACAGCTTCACTATTACTTAGCGATAGGTTGGCAAGTGTTTGCAGTCAACAGTGTCTTCCATATCATAGTCACTGCTAACAACCATTCACAACCAGATGGGAATACTCATTTTTCCCTGCTGACCAGTGCTTGACAAATGGTTGCCAGCTGGTCTTATGAATGTGTGACTAAAGCCTAACATCACTGGATGTGGGTCATTGTGTGGTTAACATTTCTGGTCCATTGTTGAAATTTTTTTGTTTGTTAGCAAGTAAATAAGCTGAGCCAACATGGCTAATGTTGCTCATTGTTGGTGCTGTAGTGTCACAGATGAGAGGTAGAGCGAAGTGAGCATACTTTTTTTTACATTATATATATATATGTGTGTACTTACGTGACATGCATTAACACTTAAAAAATGTACCTTTGAGCTTCTCAAAGTAATATCACATTTCAGAGCAATCAAATACCAATTACAGTTTGTGCGATACAAAGAATACATGTTTTAATACACAAATATGTTGTAAATTAAACATGTATTAAATCCAGACCGGGCATTGTAGCTCAGTCTGGCATCATTTAAGGTTAGTTTAGCTTTTTTTTTCTTTCTTTCTCAAAAAAAAAAAGTTTAACTAATTTTGAAATTTGTGCCTTTGTTTTACGTATTTCCATGCCTGGCTCGTCTCGACTGAAAGGCTGAGCTGAAACCAAATCCAACATGGGAACAATGCAGGACTCAACTCTATCATAATGAGATGTTTTCAACTCACAACCTCTCATATTTCATGTTAACAAAGGGTAATGATCTTCCAATTTTATGGCTAAAGGATGTTAACTTGATGTTTTATTCTTTTTTTTTAATCAGAAAGCACTTTGCTTCTAAGACACTGCTTGAGAAGTGTTTCTTTGATCAATCATCTGAGAGGGTTAAATGCTACCTAAATGCATATTATGTAAAAATACTAATAAATCACAGCCTAAATTTTATGCACATGCTTATCAAATTATCCTCACCTGCAAGTCCAAACATTTTGGTTCCTTTTGCTCCATCAAAACGTTGCATAGTCTTGTTCTGCTGTATCAGAAATAGCAGAAAACTTAAAAGCAGATCAGGATCCAGTCGGATGCTGTAAATTAATCAGTCATTTATTTTGGAATTCAGACCTGTCTTTGGTTTCACTTGCTTATTAGTCCCAGCTTTACTCTAATGCCTGGCTTGGCGAACCCACAAACAGCATCCCAGAGATCAAATTGGAAACAGACTTCTCGCTATTATAAAAGTTGCATTACTCTGCAGGTTGCTTTTCTTTCTTTTCTGTAAAACAGAGTTCTTTTATAACCTGTTGTTGAATAATAATATGATAATGGTGGCTGTGAAATGCTCTGAAATCCATCAATCTTTTTTATTCCTCATGGTAAGTCATGACCTCAAAGTGGTCCTTTTTCTTTATTTTAAGGCCTCCTGCTGCGTGAGCCTATAAAGAGAAATGTTCCACAAAAAAAGCAGAGGGTCGAGTAGCACGCACCACTAGGACTACGCAGCAGTCGTTTCCTCCTAATAAAGTCTTAGAAAGTCATGCAAAAAATGTTCTACTCTCATACTTTTCTTTTTTCTTTATAACATATGAAGTCATTATTTGACAATTTAAGATAAAACGTATTACAGTGTTCTTGTCATGCAGAGATCACGCTCTGTGACTTTCCAATGCTGCTTTCAACTTTTGACTGTTTGATTCGATGATTATTTCTAGTAATTCTGCAAATATGCTGCCTAACCAATCTAAAAAAAATGCCCAAATTAAAAAATTATTTACAGAGTTAGAGGAAAGATGTCATGCAGAAGAAATGGTCATGATGATTTTTTTCTGTTTGTTGTTGTTGTTTTTCATTTTAGTTCAGACCTGCATATTAGTTTTATTTTCCAAAAGAAAAGTCACGGCACTCCCCACCAAGTGCTATAAATTACCTCCTACATGCTTTAAAACTGTGTTTTACTCACACAGGCTTAGAGACCAGTTGATGACCGCTTGACAAACGTCTTGGTCAATACGGAAAAATTAGTATTCCCCAACTATTTGTGAGTGGTTTCTGGAGTTTTCTTGCTGTTGCTAGGTGAAATTGGTCACAAAGCAGTATATGATGCTGCATCTGAATGCTTGCTGCATTTGCTTAGGTCATTAACAGATTTTCCCATTTGTGTGTAGCTTGTACTGACCATGCCACAGTGTCTGCAACTACTTGCAAACTACGTACTAAGTGTTTGCAGACATGCTGAAGAGGACAACATGGAGAGCGTTTGTCTTCAAAGTCAAAGTTAGTAGTAGTTAGTGAGAGTTTGAAGACAAGTCATTTTCCTCTATATAGACTACAGGCAACCACGGCATTCTGCTAAAGACCAAAGCAGTCGCCACAAGTTTTTAGGTGCAGTACCCTCTTTGTGACCTTTTTCACCTAGTGACACCCAGCAGATTCAGTCAACTACTCACAAGCAATCAGGAAATGCACCTTTCTTGCCTATCAATTGAGGGTTTCCAGGATGTCTCCAGGCATTTCTATGCACAGGTCTCTAGGCCTATGTGAATGAGATCTTAAGCACTATGCTTGTGCAGCTTCAAAGCAAAAACAGAAGCCCAAAAGGACAGTGAGTAGAATGGAAAACACTGGTTCATAAGTTACATTCCCACACTTTGTCACTTCAAAAAGTGCCAGATGTTCTTCTGCCTTTCCAAAAAAAAATACTTCCTGAGATACCTTTGCTCCCAAAAATGATCATCACTAAAGTGGATTCAGGTGGTTTGGTGGGTAATGCCAGCCCTTTTGGTTTTCTTTAAGACACTTAAACATGATGGTAGCTGTGCCATCATGTTTAAGTTGGAGTCATCTTCCACTGTCCGCACAGGCATCGGCTGCTGCCAAGATTGCAACATTTTCCAGCTGGCCTCAGGGAAAACCAGTGGTATATCAGTGCAGCAGTAACCCCATGTGATTATATAAAATCCTTATATAAAGGATATTCAAGCTTTAAATAAAATGACCCCAATCATCTTACATTTATTGTTGCCTCTTTTTTACAGCTACTACAATTGGAAGACACAAGTGTCCACTTCCAACTCGAGCCCAAACTTTGAGGTGATTTATGACGACCCTAACGGCCTTCTCTTTAAGAACAAGAGGGACAAAAAGATTCTGAATTTGGACCCTTTGGTAGGTTTTTGTGTTGCTGTTGTTATTGTCCTGCTTTGGTTTTAAACCTAGGGAGACAAATGGTGCTGCTAATTAGACCGGGTCACCTGTTCCATCGCAGTAAAAATGTCTCAGGGGAGCAAAAAGGGGCTTTAGGGCAAAGACTCTTTTCTAAATCCTTTTTGCTGCACAACTGACTGCTTCTGAAAACAGATTTTGTTGTCCTTTTGGCTCAGATGACTGTGATGCACCTCCAATATCCTGATCATTTCCTCTCTTGTTACCTTTAACACCTTTTACTTTGTTGCGCCATTTTAACGAACTGCAAATGTTCCAAAGAAAATCGCTTATTTTTTAACTAGTCACAAGTTACTTCAGAGACTGCACTCTAAGAGAAGAGGTTGGGGAGACAGAGAGAGATAAAGAAATCAGTGGGAGGGAAAGATATTTGTGTTCCACCTGCACAAAGAAGGGAGGATCAAGTGGTCGAGACAGGTGCTTCCTCTACACTCAAAAGCTGACAGGGGCCCTGGAAGAATAACGACTCCCTAATGTTTTTTTCTCTCCAGTTTCCTTCTTTGCTGGGGGGTAGGGAAGTAGTTGGTGGGGCTGAACTATTTTGAAATTGCAGACAGAGCTGTGGGGACTGCGTTTTTGAGGCCAAGCGCCAAAATGGCAGCACAGTGTTCTAGCTGTGGTCGAGCACCGCCCCAACCAGGCTGTCTATTAAAAACACAAGCGAAGGCATTGGGAGCCAGACACAGCAAACCACCCGTGTGCCCAGAACCCAGCTCAGCTCAGCCCAGATTGGCTCGACACGGAGCAGCACAGAACCATCCGGCCTTTAACCCGCCATGAGCTCACTAGCTGCTCATGTGGCCTTAGAGCCACCGGAGAACCTTCCAAAATCAAAGCTCACATCAACTCATTTGGGGTGGCTTGTTTGTTTTTCTGCCTTTGTCATTCCATGACCGCTTTTCTATCCCTGCCAGAAAGTGGGTTGGGGTGGAGGGGTTGTCATTTTTCAGTTATGACAATGGCTTGATTGGCTTGGCAAAGTAAAAGTTAGAGAGAAAAAAACCCCTTGGTGCTCAAATTTGAAGAACAGGGTAAGCTGACATGAATTTAAATGTGAGTGTTAATGACACTGTTTGGTTTCTATAACATTTGAAAAAAAAAATGCTTGGCCTTAAGCAGCATTTCCCACTATCTCTCACTGTGTCTGTGACATCAGGTTTATTGGCTTATTTTTATTGATGCTCTTTTAAACTTGCAGAGGAAGACTGTCTCAGTTATTAGGACACCCACAAGTGTGGCTTAGGTAAAAGTGTAAATTGAGTGTAATGGTTCGCTATGGTTCCGTTCCCTCCAGAAGCTTTTGACACACTTAGCCTGAAATAAATGTTCCCAGCTGGTAGTGGCTTCACATCTTAGTGGTGGGGCTGTGTCAGCTTTGACAGCCAAAGTAACACAAAACATCTTGGAAAATGAACAGTTACAGTCACTGTCAAATTATGCAGCACTTGGCCTCCCCTTTAATATACCTGCTATTATAAAGAGGTGTGCTCTAGAGATGTGCGGTTTTGTTTAATTGCTAACATACTCTCTCTGTGGCAGCTGTCACATTTTCAGTATGGAGTAAGAGATATTTTTAATTTAACACTGAAACTAATATTTCCATGCACTGGAAAGCTATCTTTGGTATTTCTAAAACCACCGATAATAGCAACTCTGTATTTATTTGAAGATTTTAGCTTCTTTCAGCTCACAGTTTTGGTTCTAAATGATGCAGGTTTGATGCAGAAAAAAGTAATAAAGATTATGTTTAAAAAGTCTCATGAATTCACCTTTTTTGTTCTAAAAAAACAGAAAACTTTCATAAATACAGATCATAAATTTGTACAGAAAGTCCTTAATAATGTCATAAATCAAGTGACAGGTAGGGGCCTTTTCTTATAGACTTCTATAGAATCTGACTCCTTGTCTAATGCCCCCTGCTGGCCATTAGAGAGAGTGCAGATTTTAGAGTTGTCCACATTGGCTTCACTTTTACAGACGGAAGCTACATCCATCTTTTCTTATACAGCTTCTGAAAACATGTCTTGAGATCTTGAAAATTCACGAGACCAGTCGAAAACATCACAAATGTTTAGTTCTTTGCTTTGCGTTTGAATGCACGATTGTAGGCTGTAGACAGCACTACCCCCAAACAAGCACCACTAACTTCTCTGTGCTGTGTTTCAGTCTGGTCCTGGCGAGGACTCCAACAGGACATTCCTGCAGTCGGACATCTACATCCATGTTGTCATCTACGACCACAACGTCAGGACAGTCTAAGCTTCACAGGCCGTCGCCAACACTTGCATACATATGGCACGTATTGGAGAGCACTGGAAGCCTCTAATTTGACTGAGTTGCTGTAGTTGGACTATCATTTACACTGTTCCCCTCATATCATGCATGCCATCTGGGTGGAGGTGTTGTAGTGGAGAAAAAAAGGCTTTAAACTGAGGAATCCCAGAGGATGAAGTTGATGGACTCGTGTGACAACTTGGAAGTTTCTTTGCAAATACTCTGGGGTTTTATGTCTAACTTTGGCCTTAAATTGTTGCATCCAGGTTTGGATTGACTGTGCTTTTGGCACTTACCCAAGCAAGCAGAGTTAGTTAGGGGCAAGAACCTGCTCAGAGACCCCAGGCTAGTATCATCATTTGGTCTGGCATGTTTTGGGCTGTTTGTCTAAACAAATTAAAGGCGTAAGAGCTTTGAAAGATGATGGGGGTTGCTTTCATGTCCTCCCCCAGGCTGCGGTAGCTCCAATTGGACTGGAAGAGTGGGTAATGGGCTTAAAGCATTCCGTATGTTTCCAGATGCAAGGCACACGTTACGGGACATCAAAGTGCCCTATCATTTACATATTAGTCATTCACTATGACATTTTTAAATTATTTTCTCAGAGGGCTTTTGGTAACTTAAATCCCTTTAATTTCAGGATTATTATTTGTTGTTTTTTGTAACAGTATCTAAATCTAGAAGTTGAGTCTTTATTAGTTCATAAATTTGCTTTCTGTACATTCTGCTGACTCAATGTCTCTGCATGTAGAAAATTTGGGGGGATAGCAGTAATGCTGCTTCTCAGACTTATCTACCTCTGTTTATTGTGTTTAGTCCTTTTTTGGACTAAACATGTTCACTGGGCGAGATTTAGGGTGCACCCTGGACAGGTCATCAGTCCGTCACAGGCCTAACAGAGGGACAGTCAACCACACACTCTCACATCCACACCTACAGCCAATTTGGAGTCACCAATTAACCTAACTAGCAAGTCTGAGGGTAGAAGACTACCCAGAGGACACCCGTGTAGGCACAGTGATATGCAAACTCCACACAGAGAGGCCTCAGCCAGCCAGGAGATTCAAATCAAGAACCTACCAAAGGTAAGTAACAAATAATGAACACATTAAATCTTGGTTAATTAATCCAGACATGCACGCATAAATAAATAAATGGCTAAGGGTTAGGATTGGGGTTTTATGAGTGGCTGTTCTGAACCTGTATCTGAACATTTATCTGCTGCACAGACGTGCAAGTGATATCAATCTTTTCATCTAAATCAAATAAGCTTATTTCCTTAACTGCTGAGCCTTTAAGCTCACACTGTCACCTCCACATTTTATCTCGCCTTTATATTAATTTTCTCATTACTAATCTATCACCTGTTTTTCCCCTGAAAGTCACAAGCTTCAAACAAATTAGTTCATTCTAATACAAACGTCTAATGTTTCTCATCTGGCTTGATACCAGAGAAGCCTTCCACTTGCTGCATCTGTTTGTTTTCACCGAATTGGACCCTGTTGTCCTCATTGAAATAATATGTGTGGTGACAAGGCTATTTGGGCTGTGGTTCTGTAAAAACTGGGGTTAGGGAAATGACGGTCTGGTTTGGGGTTGTTAATCATTACTGTTCTTTTGTTTTTCCTTCCCTTTTTTAAAGACGATAGGAGTTCTGGGCCTGTTTTTGTGGTTATCGTGAGCAAAGCTGGTGAAAAGTCTGATGGAGTTATAAAAGTGACACAGATGGGAATGTAGGATGTGCCTATTTTCAGTCTTTAACATGTTTTCGTGCAGTTTTATGTATTTTTTTTATCATCTATTTGTGGTTGCTGGTGTGTAAACTGATCTTAAACTGTTTTTTTGTTTCTTGCTGTAACTACAACCTAAGTAGCAGAAGTATATTCAGACCTGGTTTCTCTGTTGACTGCCTTGTTGAACAGCATATTTAACCTGAGTGCAGGGCGTGTTGTAATTGAGAAACCTTCCACCTGCCTGTCTCACTACTTGCTTATTTGTTGTTGTTTTTTCAGTTTTCAGTTTGGAGATTTTTTGTAATTGTGTTTGGAAATGAGAAGTCAGGCAGCAAATGAACACTTCACCCTCATCTACAGCTGTTTAGGTTTACAGGCCACGGCTCATTTATGTGGCCAGGTAATGGCGATGGAACTGGCTGCTTTATTCTCTCTCCCACCCTGAAAGTTGCATCAGTCATTCCAAATACCTTCCAATGAAAACAGCAGATGTGCACAAGACGGGAAAAAGGCCATCTAAAACAAACAGGCAAACAAGTGCACTGCATCTGAAATGCATTGGTTGTTCTTTGAATGCCTTACCTCTGTAGAAGACAGCATTTAAAACGATTACTGGAATCCACCCAGATCATGTGTCTGCAAACAGGGATGATTTCACAATAAAGTCCAGGTTAAACAGTAATATTCCCCTTCATTTCCTTTATTGGGCTTTTAAGCTGTTGGGGTTTTAACTGAAGCGTTAAAACCCCTAATGTTAAAACATTAGTTAGAGGTCTGACTTGCCCCTAATATGCACAACTTGAGTCAAAGAGGTGGATTCAGACTGCAGCAGAGGCACGATTCAGTCTTTTCTATGAAACAAGCTCATAGAAAACCTCAGTTTGATGTCTTTTTGTGTAGTTTTCACTCATAGATTATTGTGTTTGACATCTCATTACCTACAACCTTATGATTAATAGATTAATATTGGCATGCAGATATTACAATAACCTTGTGAATCTAGTGATAGCTGCTGACATGCAAAAATAAATTCCAAATTAAATCCTAAGCTAAATTACAGCGCTTTCACTTTCAAACACACAACCACTTTTTACCCCTCAGCCAAAAAGGCTGATGGGTTATTGTTGTCACCCGTTGGATGGGCGAGTGGGCAGCGTAGACACCCAAGTTTTTGAATGCGCTAACTTGAGAAGGATGTCACCTGTCCAAAAATACAAACCCAATAAAAATGTCTAATTAGCAGAGGTGTGGCCTAGCAGACTTCTGCTGATTGGAGCCGCCTGTGTTGTACCTAAAAGCCTTCCTGTACAATTGTTAACGAAGGGTGAAACTATCGAGACCAAAACCAGGTTCAAAAATCCTGTTTTAATGCTATAGATTTGGGAATGTTATACAAATATACGAGATTGACTCACTTTTGGGGCCAGTCTCAAGTGGCCACAACTGGAACTGCAGTTTCTGACACTTCATGTTGGCTTTATTTTCAGAACTGCACGTGTTAACATAAAAAAAAATAGTAGATTTAAACTAAATATTATAGCTGAAGTGTTGTTGGAACATTTGTTTCAATCTATAAAGTCATGGTTTTGCAAAGTTTTTTCTATCTAGAACATCAGCTTTGATGTACCAAGTATACTCTATCATTTGAAGTGTCTTTCAGCACAGGAGTCAATTAATTGGTTTTTCATTGGATAGTTAAATACCACGGGCACCGTTGTTAAAACTCACCAGTTCAACAGTCACGGACATACATGTTGAATTTGACCATTTGTAAGTTCCTTTACTTGAATACGTTTTCTTTTCCTTTGACAACTGTTTTATTATTGAGGGCAGTAATACTCTTAATCACTGTCCACTTTAGGGACTGGTTTTAACTCTGGCTCACAGTTAAATCCAGAGTTCTCCAACATCCAACTTACAAAGTGCTAAATGATCAGGCCCCGTCATATCTTAAAGACCTCATATTATCTCATATCCCAATAGAGCACTTTGCTCTCTGAGTGCAGGCCTGCTTGTGGTTCCTAGAGTTTCCAAAAGTAGAATGGAAGGCAGAGCCTTCACGCTCCTCTCCTGATGCTTCTTGCTTATCTGGTAGCAGCTGAAGACGTTAAAGTCATTCAGCCTGTTGACTGCTATGAAAGACATGGCATGCTAATATTATTGCCATCAGATGTCCAAGGGCGGGGAAATGCCCTAATCATTTCCTCCCGAGTGCCCCTGAAAGAGGACCAGTGGTGGGGGGGACTGCAGGCCGACTGGGTGGGGTGTTCAAACCCCGCCTGATGGGCTGTTTGGGGGGAAGGCGGGGAACAGTATGCATCCGGATCGGACTGTGATGGTACAGGATGTGTGTGCTTAACTCCATTGAACTAAACTAAGTAGGGAAGAAAGCCTTTAATGCCGACAATAAGCCGCTTCATTCAGCAGCGCGGCCCGGACGCGCAGCTCTGCGGAGTAGAAATTGCGCACGGAGGGGCTGTTCTCTGGCAGCAGTTTAGGTGTTGAAATCAGTTCAATAAACCTCTGGAATGTCGTTTAGTAAAATATTTTCACGCTCTCCGTCTCGAGTCAACCGACAAAACACGCCCCCTTCGGCTCTTGATAACGAGATAATTCGAGATAATTTGTCCCCAGGCTGAATGTGCGTAGAAGTATTTTGAACAGGAAACTCTCTCTCTCTCTCCCCCTCTCTCTCTGAGGGTGAGCATGTGTACGTGTGTGTGCGCAGTGTGTGTGTGTGAGAGAAAGGAGAGAGGAATACCCAGCTGGTCCCACAAGCCCTATAATACCAAGCACAACATGCTTTACCTTCAATGAAAGCTGAGACTGAGGGACGGTTGACTGCTGGACCTGAAATCAGCTTAGAGTCGGAGAGGCGCAGTTTTTCTCCTTCTGCTTTCTCACACCTCATCCTGCGCGCCGGAACCTTTTTATCATTATTATTTTTATCTTTTTACTGACTTCATTCACTGACTCAAACACATTTAGACCTGCAACTTATCAAAAGTAGAGACAACTTGGATAACGCATCTTCCTCTCTTGTTGTGACCGGTGTCAAAGGTGATGGTGTCATTTTCTTGCAGAGGACTCAGGTGATGGTATGTGTTTCTGGAGATAGGGGCCACTTTCGGAAACGTGTTAGTTTTTCCACAGCTGTTATTTTTTCGTTTGCTACGTTTCGTTTGCCTCGAACATGGCACTCTACTCTCGATTTGTGATCGTGCTGCTTTACGGATGGAGTTATTTGTGCGTTGGATTGTGCGCGATGCTGAAAACGGACAATATCCCCGAGAGACGAAAGGTGGATTTTACGCATTCGGTGGATAAAAAATACGCGACAAAAGAAGACCGGGATGCGCTTTTACAGGATACGATGACGGAGCACATGCAGATGCTTTACGCGAAGTACAACAGCGCTGGATTTCCCTTCAAGGACGGCAACACTGTTCGTAGTTTCAAAGCGCATTGGGGTATGTATCAAATGTTTTATGTATATTAAGAACACCGACTTCTACCAGCATAGAAGTCAGTGACCGGCATGCCTTTTTGATGTTATATGTTTCCATTTTGCCTCAATCAGCTTGAATCACCTGCATAGTAAAAATGCAAATCGGCACATTTTTTCCATCTTTAGATGAAAAACTTAAAGTAGAAAGAACATCTATAATATTGAGTAAGTCTTATTTTATAGAGAATAATGTAAAATTCGTTATTAAGACCGATGCCGTTCATGTGTGCGGAGCTGAAAAAGAAATACACCTGTTGATCCAGTAATGGAAATGTGAACAACCTGTTACGCATTCCTTTTGCCAGTAAGAGTAAAAGATTCGCATCAGATGGTGGCATGCAATTTAACATAGCTTGGCCGCACAACTGTTCACACCTTCAGATTTTACTGTCAGATAGTCTTGATAAATTTTCTCTCGAGCCAACATCTGGCAGCTGCCCAGACTGCCTGAGCTGTAGCAGAGTTTGAGTTTCCACTGCAGCGAGCGCTAATGTCCTTTCAGTGGGAGCTTTTTTCCTCTCTTCTTCAGGTTCATTTATAGTAACTTTAATCCAATAAACCCTCAAGTGTTTACACTTCGCTGTGTTATTATCACTCGGACCATGGGGCGACCAGTTGCCACTTAGGGTTAAACTTTGTTAGATTACACTGCCTCCTGTCGCCCGGCTGCTGTATGGTATAGCATTAAAGGGCAGGTTCACCCAAATCACAAACATATTTCACGATTGATCCTCAGAAGAATTTGGCCATGCAGGAGTTTTTGGTTTTTGCTTGAAATTTCTGCTTTTATCCCAAAGCAGTGAGTGGGAGTTTCTGCTATGTTGTTGCAAGCAATGACATGTTTAAAATGTTAAAGAAACCTTCTAAAGTACTGGTCTGTTCTTTCTTTACAGTGACAATTTTCTTTTTTATTGAAGCAATCCTCAAAATGAAAGCCTGTTAAAGCTGTTCCATGGAATTGTCCTGTGTCCTGCCGATCTTTAAAAATATTTTGTAATTAATGATTTTTCAATACGTTTTTTTAAAATCCCAAAATAATTCTATTGCATTAGGGTGAACAACTGTTTCATGACCTGAGCAAAAAAAGTGCACAACATAAGCCCGATGATGAAAACGCTGGACTAAAAAGAGGAAATACAAACATATAAATTATTATTACTAGCAGTAAAGTTTAGGAAAAGCCATGGTCAGTTTTGAAATGATGTGAACCGTGTTGCACTCTGTTCATGATATTACTCATTATATGCACAGGTACTATAAACAAGAAACAGCTGCAGATTTTCAACCTCACCTCCCTCACCAAATCAGAAGACATCCTGTCAGCTACTCTTCATTATTACATTGGAGACCTTCAGAACAGCACCCAGGGCTGCTCCAGGTCCAAAAGCTGCGCTCGCCATGGTCCCAGGAGGCACAGCCACATCCACATGGTCATCTGGAGCTTTGCATCTGTGGATAACAAGATGAGGACTCTTGGACATTTTCGGATCAATGTGTCCACCCTCTACAGGGACTTCATATCTTGGCAGTGGAAGGACATAACTCGTGTGGTCAACCAGGCCAAACACCACGACGAGCTGCTTATTGGGATTGAAGTGGCTTCACAAGGTTCCCAGGCGTGGAAGAAGCTCCTGTCAGACCGCTCACCCTACATCCTGGTCTATGCCAATGACTCTGCCATTTCAGAGCCTGAAAGTGTGGTAGCTAATCTCCAGAGGCCCCACTCAGTGAGAGGTGAGGGCTCCATTTCACACGGCTTCCATAAACTGGGACTACAAGAGCAAAACGACACCGAAGGACAGCCGCAGCCCAGACACAGGCGCTCAGTGAATGTTCTCCTACCTTTGCAAAACAATGAACTTCCTGGTCCCGAGTACCCATATGAGACGACCGGCTGGGACGAGACAACTCCCTACGAACCATTTGAAAACAAACAGGCACGCCGGCCGCGTAAAAAGACACGCAAGAATCAGCGGCATAAGATGCCCTTGCTACAGTTTGATGAGCAGACGATTAAAAAGGCGCGAAAGAAGCAGTGGAACGAGCCCAGGAACTGCGCTCGGAGATACCTGAAAGTTGACTTTGCCGACATTGGATGGAGCGAATGGATTATATCGCCCAAGTCGTTTGATGCCTATTATTGCTCAGGGTCCTGCCAGTTCCCCATGCCAAAGGTGAGATTCAAAGCCCGGTAGCACCACACTATAGTGCTTTTAGACAGTACTAAAGGTGCCAAAGCAAAAAATTAGTGGGTTAGAGAAGGTAAAGCTCAGTACGGTGGCAATTATAGTATTTCTACCAATTAGCTATATGAAGAGGGAAAGCTGATCTTTGGTAGACTTCGTCATTATAGATGGGTCACTTGTGAGAGCTGGTTAAAGATGGAATTTTTTCTTTTTAAAGTGATCACAGCCTAAAATGGTAGCACTAATTCAATACTCTCTAGACAATACATCTGGGAACCTGTTTTTGTTTTTTCACAACTGAAGATTATAAATAAACCAAAAACCAATGTTTTTTTTTGTTAAATTTAGTTTTTGTTCGGTTTTTATATTAATAGTGCAGATAAAAGTTTTATGAAAGCAGTTTAGGCAACTTACAGGTGATCTGCAGGAGCAGAACTCTTTATATCCTCTACATGGGCAAAGAACCAAAGGGTGGTCCGAGGCAATAAAGTCTGGCTATTAAAGATGGTGAATAATCCGCTAGCTGATTAAATTGGAGAAAACAAATCAGACAAACTGCTACGTAAGTACAAAAAACAGCGATAGCACATTTATTTCTGTCTGTAATGGAAAATTGTGATAGCTTAGCAAAGCAACATAGTTCTGCAGTATATAGATATTTAAAAAATTTGTAGTTATACATTTTGTGTCAGAGTCACTGACACGTAACCATGGAAGCCGTGTGTCATTCAGTATCGGCCAATGCTAGGCTGCACTGCTAGCCAGACTGCTAATTAACTGAACTTCCTGTCTCTACAGTTCACAGATTTAAAATCTATTTTCATTATGAAAAGAATGGGATTAACAAATGTCTCTTTAACATAGCTACAATAAATATGTGGCTAATGCTTAACCTCATCCGTTATACTGTCTCAGTTTTGAATGTTTGTAAGTGTTGGTCACCTGGGCTATTTTTCTCTCATTTAAACAACTGGCAATTTTCTAATATTTAAGAGCCACTAGAAACCACTCTCACTGCAATCTTATCATATTTTAAATACTGCAGAAATATGCGTGGTATTTTGCCCTAGATTGATGTGCTGTGTGAGGTTAACGTTAGCAATGCTAGCACCAGCAGTCCATCTTTGCAACTTTATCATTTGCAAGTCTCATAGTGAATTTACTAATGGTTCTGAAAGGATGATGTCTATTTAGTTGCTATAATGAAAAGCAAATAATTTGTCTATCCAAGCAGAATTTGTGTTGCTGGTTGGCAAAGGAAAGAACATTTAACCATCTCCGTACTTGCAGAAATCCTTATGGCCTCCGCTCTGGCTGCCTGACAATAGTGAAGCCCATTAGGTGGTCGTCCCCATACTTTTAAGCTAAAGTTAAATCCAGTAGCTTCTGTTTTTCCAGAGTAACTTTTTTGAAAACCATTTCTTTACATGGTGATTATTAATGATTCCTTATGACGCAGTCCTAAATGACAGTCACGCCTCCATAAGGAAATGATAAGAATAGTTGAAAGTTAGAGCCATCAGTTTCTGTACCAGCAGTGTACATTATTGGCTTGGCTTGGCGACCCCTTTAAGAATTGTTTGGCTCTGTAACTAAAGACAGCAGACATAAGTCTTTAACTTTTTTTTTTTTGCAGTATGGTATACATTATGTAAATAGGACGGGCTACATTCAGATAGCAGTCTCTTTACTGCTTTGCATTAACTTAACATGGGTAAAATCAACCTCAGGGGTCCCTGCTATCTTTCTGTTTTATATAACAGGCAACAGTGGCAAGCCTTATGTCATTGGCTTTGATCTTCAACAGCAGGGTTAAAGTAGTTACAGTAGTTGTGCAGATAGTTCTTCATGCTTTTATCTTCAGATTGTATCTTTGTCTTTAAAGATGCACATCAGATGTAAATCTAGATTTAGCCCAAGCAGTCCTACTATATTAAACCTGCAGTAATAGTGAAGCTACAGATGTCATCTAATATGCTTAGTAAGAAAACCGGCGTCCTCATAAACAGCTGGTTGACCTCCTCATCAAAATTCAATAAAAACGTTATTACCTAAAACAAACCAACAAGTATCTTGAATGAAGTATCTACAGAGGATAACGTTAAGCCTTTACACAGAAGATGGAAATAAGTGAGAGACACAAAAAAACATCTGCCTGATGTTAAACATCAACTTCCCTTTTAGCTCGTGGCACCGGTGATAAGATAACCACGCAGGTATTTTAAACATGGCCGGAATGCACGAGCTACATCCACTTAATTCATTAAGTCGGAGTCACAGGTCTTTGTAGTCGGAGGTAATTAGTCCCAGAAGTAGAGCCTAGGGCTTTTAAGGCAGCCGCCTCCCTCTCCTGCAGCTTTTCTGCTCAGCCTGTGCAGAAAACGTTGTCTCGTTTGTCAGGTTGAAGTTTTAGAAGCTTCTAAATAGCCATGATTAAAAGGGTGCACTTTTTTTTCCTGTGGAGTGGTGTGGGAAGACTTCTATCGCTTACTAGTTCCTGTTGAGAATGAAGCAGCTGTGCAGGTGAACTGCTGGGCGTGTAGAACTTAAATTCAGACCCACAGACCCTTCGGCCAATGCTGCATGCTAGTTGCACTGAATAATATTGCTATGCCCTTGACAAATAAGATTATATATGATCTTAAATGGCAAATAGGAAAACTACATGTGCAGAACTTCAGCAACAAGTAAAGTTTGATATTGTTGAATTGGTTATAAATTTGGGGACGTTTTGAATGTCTTTTTTCTGCTTTCAAATATGTTCGGTAGAAGGAAAAAAAAAATGTACGTGTGAATATTTGCTATCACTCTGGGTTTCTGTGACTCTGGAAAACAAGGCCCAGCTTGTTAGAAACATGTCCTGTTGGCTCATCAAAAGTTCATAACTGTTTAACTTTTACTTTAAAATGACATTTATTTGCTCTTTTTTTTAAGGCTCTGAAGCCATCTAACCACGCCACCATCCAGAGCATAGTGCGGGCGGTGGGCGTCGTCCCAGGCATCCCCGAGCCGTGCTGTGTCCCCGAGAAAATGTCTTCCCTCAGCATCCTTTTCTTTGACGAGGACAAGAATGTGGTGCTGAAAGTCTACCCCAACATGACAGTAGATTCCTGCGCCTGTAGATAGTTTCTTTTTCCTCCCAGGCCTCATCGCACACACCTCGTGTCATAAAGAGAAGTAAAAAACAAACAAAAAACCCCACATACAGCCATAAAGACGGTCTCTTCTCCTGTTTCTACAGTCATACACTCACTCAGATACAAATAACAAGTGAATACAACTTCCCTTTTGCACTGGAGGAGAGCACCGCCTGTTGTTCCAGGTGACGATGTGACTGTCAGTGGGAAGAAATGGATCACGTGAGTTATCCTAGTAAAAGTTGTATTTTAAACGTATTTATCATCGCTGCTCAGTTATCAGTTGGGCGACGGCAAGGTGGATGCGATCATAAACCCACTATCAAGGCATACAAACACCAGCTGAGGCATAAAAGAGACAAAAACTGAAGGAAAATATTCACTTTTCAGGAAAAACCAAAAAGATCTTCATTTCAGCTGGTGCCCGTGGGAGGGCGAGGTGGTTGTACTCATCTTTCTCTCCTTCACAGCTTGAAGTTGTCACCTCCAGGTCACCTCTGCTCGCATTTGCATGGTTTTTGTTACTATGTGTAAGTATTTATGTCTGTACTATCACTGTGTTATTCACCATACGAGAATTTATTGTATCATTTTTTGGCTTGGCTGCTATAAAGGATTATATTAGATTCCAAAGCCAGAATTGTGACGTAGACTTTTAGGTTGCTTTACATATTTATGTTTAACTCTGTTGTTGTACAGAACCAACATTCTTTTTTTTTAGAGTTTATTATAGGTGGAAGAGTAAGCTACATTCATATGGTCTCCTCATTAACAGGGACATTCTGAGGCATGTTTTGCTTCTCCAAGAAAATGAAAAAGCTTCATGAGTAAACCTCGTAGGTGAGGCCAGATTAACTTGTTAGCATGAGGCCAGAACTGCAAAAATTAATGCTCAGTGAGAGGCAGCTGAAGGAGAAATATGTTTTTGACGTACTCTTCTGTTAGAAACTGATGGAAAGTGTTGCGTGAGGTCTCGGAGGTGGATAACATTTCTGAAAAAGTAACTTGGCTGCCTTTAAAACCCAGCAGAAGATGGATTTTTGCAGGGGTGCAACTTCTGCTGGGACGTTTTTCTTCTCTGCGAAGCTCCGCTTCAAACTCAGTTACGTTCTGATCCGTTTCATGAAAACACCAGTATTACTGAGGACCAGAAACTTGTGGGGCTGCGCTGTAGGCATTTGGGGGGAAGAGCTTTAGGACGGGCTGACAGCTTTAAGCCATTCATTCGTACAAATTGGTAGATGGCTTAAAATAAATGAACACTCCAACTATCAGGTCAAAATGAACTTTTTTCAGTGTTAAATTGAGCACAATTTGCAGTAAACTGCCTGCTACCAAACTTAGCAAATTAATTTTTTTATGATTCATTTAAATACTCTCCTCCCAAAATTTTATTCTCACAGGAAAAAATACATATGCAAGTTTTTCTTTTTTACCTGTTTTTCCCCAAAAAAACTTCTTGAAGGTATAGGATGTTGAAAGGTACCACTACTCTGACTTTTACTTGGATTTCAGTTTCACCTCTGTGCTGTTTTTCAGCTTCAAGAAAAACAGAAAAGTGGTACTTGGTGCAAGCTACTAGCATCAGCTGGGTACAGTGGTGGCAGTAGAAAAAATGAGATGAAGCAAAAACAAGCTGTGCATTATTATGTCCTTTCTGTTATTCACGTTTTGAGCAATATGACCGTCATTATTATTACTGTGTATTATTCTACAGAGTGGGTTTTACATAAATCATTAGAGGGTGTGTTATTCGAGTCAGATCAGCTACAAACAACAGGCACACCTGGAGGAGCAGTTAACGTGTCGTAACCTTGCCTTGAGTTGTGCGTTATTGTCACAGTTCATAGAACCAAATATTTATTCAGAGCAAATAGACGTAATTATAGCAGCGTTTTTTATCTATACACTTGTACATTGCCTTTGTATATAGCTCACTCTACTACAATGATGCGTCTTTGAGATAGAAGTGCCTTTTTGAATGGGTGGATTTCTGCTTCACAAAAAGTTCGAGTTGATTCATCGTGAAGCTCAAGTCAAAGCAAGCAGCTATTTTCTTATGGTACAAAATAGGCTCCAGAGTGAACATAGCGCGTATTCTTTTGTGGAATTTATTCTCAAATGTATTTCAAACAATTTTGATAATCCAGAGACATTTATTTTGTGTCAATACCCGAGGGCAGATTGTGTAACTTTCTATATTTTGTACTGACACGTTTTACAGTTTGTGCTTCCTCGTTTTGTGCCGACACGATTTTTAGAAATGCATGTTATAGAATGAAGTGGCTTCCTCCGTTGGTGCCAGTACAACTTTGCAGATGTGACGACTGCTGACGCGTCACTTTTTGGATCCTTGCTTTTTCTGCATTTGTGACTCAACTTTCCGAGTATGAATCGGCGCAGTCATCTACAGCGCAGCGCATCGACCTTTACTTCACTGTTTCATCTTCTCGTGTAAATGTTGTGCTGTAGGTTAAACAAAGAAATGCCTGTACAATAAGCTTCATAAAATATATTTGTATATGGAAAAGGCCTTTAACATGCATCTATTTATTTTCTCTATGTTGCATATCTTGTAAAGGTGTGGTCTGGGAAAGGGGGGGCCGAAGCTCAGAAATGTCGATGGTCTTTATATCTGCGATGGACATTTGTCACTACTGACTAAAAGTGTGGTGAACTGTTTAAAGGTCTCCCTCCTCTGAGCTCGGACCCTCCTTCCAAAGCATTCAAAGAAATGAATAAAAGTATGCAAGAACAAAATCTATCAAGACTTTTATTGTATTTATTTTTTGTCAACCTTTGGTTATGAAATGTTGTATCCCATTTTAAAACAAAACAAAAAAATACTTAAAGTTCATGTATTTTCTCCCTCTGTACCTCCTGAAAATAACACAAAATCTGTTTCTGAGGTACAAGGTACAAGTACCAAAATTCAAAGGTATATCTGTATGTACAGGGATGTTTGTCCCTTTATTAGATTATTTACTTTTTGTTCATATACAGTGTATATATATATATTTTCAGGATTGCGTCAGACAAAGGCAGGTATAGATACAGTGTAGCACATTATGTGTGCTGATTAGCAGTCCAGTTAAGTTCAATCACTTTGTCTTCAACCACTTTAAAGTGTTAAAGTCCAGCTATTTAGCTGCCTCCCCACATATCTGTTATTACACTATAACATTTGATTAAGAACTTTCAAACATATTCATAATATTTAAAAGCTTTGCCTGATTTATATTTGGCCAATCGCATAAGGTCATCTTCTCAGTCATCTTCCAGCGTGGCTGCTATTTTTAGATCCCTCCCCGGATGTCCAGTTCTGACAAATTTCACTGTCCGTGCTGCGATTTCTCACCAACCTCAGACTTCTGCTTCCAGCTGACCCAGATTTTGTATCTCGCACTGTCACGGCTGATGAGAGCTGGGTCTGCAGGTAGAGCTTAGCAGGTTTTTAGCTGTCCAGTTTGAGTGCAAAGTACACTCGACAGATTTGCTTTTCTGAAAGGTTGAAGCACACCCACTGAAAGGTTGAGGAATCACCATTTTGACGCGGTGGAATAAATCCAGCACATACCAGAGGTACAAGTACATAATGGGACTTCCTCTGAGAGAATAGCAGCCACGCTGAAAATGGTCCAAAGTTGCACAACAAGGTGAGAATGGATCAAACTTTTATTGATCCGTTCTCATAACTTTATGATCACACCCCGTGGGCTTGCTGGCCTAAACTGTACGAAGGTAAACATGTAGCAACGTGCGAGAGCTTGTAGATGTAACACAAGAGTGTGAAACATTTTTAAAAGTGAAAACAAAACTTAAAATGTTTTCTACATCTATCTTATCTTACAGGCCCGCGAATTTTGCATCATATTTACCTTCATAAAACTGCACTTTCACTCATGATACATTTCCATTTTTTGTGATGAGAATCTTCTGATTACAATGCAAGACGTGAGTCATTTAAATAAACAAACAACTTCCACTCTCACACACAGACCACTAGCTTCATTTGTCAGAGAGAGCTCCGCTGACTGCCATTAACCAAAATGCCTCTGCTTTTACCATCAGATCTGCCTCTGCAGTAATGACAGTAGAATTTGTGAATTCAACGTCTAAATCCACCTCCGGTTTTCCATTGCAGCAACAAGTGGGCCACTGTAGGACGGCCCACATCTTTGAGTGTGATCCAACCACAGGTAAGACCTCTTTTAGGGCTGTTGAAAGGAAAAGGAAATATCTGCTGTGGACTAGAACCTCCAGATCAGCCCAAAGGAAATTGGAGTTAATGCCACTTTACTAATAAAATGAAAAAGTTCAAATGTTAAACCGATCTGTTTGAAGGGATTGTGTAAATGCAGTTAAAAAACTCTGTCCTGAAACAGCACTGCTCCTCCAAACTCACACATACATTCACCAATCAGAGGACACATTTACAATATACATGATATTTACAAATTCACTCACCCGTTTTTTTAAGGTTTATATAAAGGAGCAAGTAGGTTAGATTGTATAAACTGTGTATTTCGGATGCTTGTGCTTTATATTATTGAGTATATACACAGAGACGTGGTACCTCAAATGTTTAAAATGGAAAACACACCAATTTAAACCCCAGGTTCCTCAGAATCACCTCACAGTAAACCCTAAACATATTCTGCTCACTTCGGCCTCTGCTGTTCCTCCTCACATCATCAACGGCTCAAACGTGTCTCCGGCTCAGGAAGCCCACCGCGAGACGCTCACACTTTATGATTCAAGTGGAGAGAAGGTGTTCCTGTCTTTGTTTGTCATCTGTGACAAAAGTGAAGAGGCTGTGAGGATAACACAGTTGGCACAAGGAGCTACAGATGCTTCATGGATGTTTCTGTTGGGGTACATATCCAGCGTGTGTTGGTTTTCAACGCAGTGTCATCTCCTCAAATTCCCTTTAGCTGTTAGAAATAAAGGCCGCATCGATGTTTCTGAAGTAAAAGAGCAATTAGGGAATTGAAAATAAGAATAGTATGATGTATAACAAAGAATGCTGAGCTGAATAAACTCTTGGTCCCTCCAAAGCAATCGGTTATGAAGCTCGATGACACCATCCGAGTGTTTCTGGACCATCCATAAAATGTACTGTGCCTGAGGGCAAACTTAAAAAAGCTTGAGCTGTACCCAATAACTTCAGGAAATCTAAAACTACAAACACGGCAGTGAATCATTTCTGTCATTTCTGCATGTCTGTAGTTACTCTAATGTGATGTTAGCACAATAAATTTAGTTTTTACTGTTTTTTGTGGGTATTACCAACTGGAAAGCTACCCTGAAATGTCCACATTAGCACTGGGAGATGTTTTTAAGAAAACAGTGCACGTTCAGGATTGGTTAAAGTACAGGTTCGCTTTCACCAGCTCTAAAATAACTCACAGGGTTACTGTGCTTTACAGAGGGGCTCAAACTTCCACAAGGGGACAGTTACATGGAGGAGTTTATCCCCAGTCACAGTGCTGGCTGTTATCACTTCCCATGTGTTTATATCGCCCTATTGCATGGGATCAACTCTCCTGTAGTTTTGGTTAGTTTCTTGCCCCTCCCTGAGGCTGGTTCTGCTTCTCTACCTCATGTGATCTTTGAGGTTCTCTCCGTAATACTGTAGGGTCTTTAGCTTATAATGTAATGAGTCTTGAGATGACAACTGTTGTGAACCGGGCCCATATAAATAAAAATAAACATTTTAATTGAATATGGGGTGGAGGTGTTTATCCAGCACACCACCCTGGTGCAGCACATATCAGCAGCAGATTATAGAGAAGCTCATTAATGTTTATAATAGTGTTATTATTTACTCCTAGTGTATCCCAATACCCGGTTCCAGGCTGACGGCTTCATAACGAGCTGTTTAACTCTGCAGTGAGCCGATTAGGCCGTCTGTGTGGCATTTTTGTTACTGAGTGTCTGCGGCTGCACGAGGTGTTGAACTGATAATATGGCTTGTGACTCCCAGTTGCTGATGAGTGTACGTCATATAGAAGGTATAGAAAGAATTTTTATCCTACTGTGATGCTAACCTTACTTATTCTAACTATGAGAACCTGTTATATTCCACAGTAATACCACAAATTGAGCTAGTTGATTCTGTGCAGCCACAGTAGCCCTGAGTGTCCTCTTAGCCCACTAACATTAGCCAGCTGAGGAGTGTTAACTTACCTGACTTAATGTGATTCAACACAAATATTAGAAATCGTTCTTTTTTTTGTTGCATAACGGGGCTACATCTGAAGTTTTGTCTGGGTTAACGATTAATACATTAATCCTGTATGTCAAGCTAGGCAGCTTCATGCTAATTAATGTGACACTGAGCACCATTAACCAGAACCTTCTGTTTTGTTGGCATTAATAAAATCCTTTCTGGTAATGTTCTTAATCTGCTTCTGGCAAATGTCTTGGTGGTGGCCCGACTCCTCTGAGGTAAAAGCTTGTGCATTTCACATCCAGTTTTGTTCGAATGTTGAACACTGACGCGGCTGTTGGAGCAGCTTAAAACTGTTCTGAATCGCTTCGATTTTTCTCGACATCTTTGTCAAAAATAGTGTGAAACAGAGAGTAAAAGAAAAGTCAAGCAGTAAACCTTTACACCTTTGAAGGCTTCCATTCAAATGTGCACATATTGTATGGAGATACAGGAGCAATACGGGTTTACCTTTTGGTAATATCCCATTTTCAATTATCTGTCAATCTGTGACAATCATAAAGCTGCTAAACCATGGCTGAGGTGATGTAAAGTCACCTGTAAGTCCACTTTTGCTGTTAGATTTTAGTTGTTAATGTGTGCAGTGGAAGGAAAATGTTGGAAAGATGGAGGAGAAGTCCTCAGAAGTCCATGTCCCAACCAGACAGCTCATCAGGAGGACTGTCATCATCTGGAGGGTAGCTGTCGAAGTAACTGTGATCTGTTGGTCCTGTAAGCTATGGAGCGAAGGAAGGAAGAGGAGAGAGAGAGATGGTTAGCAAAGCATTGAGTTGGTCTGAAATCAAATAGTAACAACTGATGGGGCAACAAAATTCAACATGGCATTTTTAAGGTTAATACAAATTCCCTTTGGGGTTGTGTCAGAAAGGGCAGCTGGAATAAAACTTAAATCAAATGTGGAACTACTTGCTGTGGTGACCCCTCGTGATAAATCACTACACATGAGCGGGGGACACTGGTTTCCTTTTCCAATGTGGAACAGTATAAAGTGTGCAGGAGGCAGAAAGCATGATGGCCACGTCTTGCTGGGAATTCACATGACAGTTACCTCCTTTATCCTTATTAAGCCCATTTTTCCACAACAGGAGCTATAAGACATTGGGTGTGCGTTCATAATACACACGTAAGGGTAAGAAGGAAGAAATGCCTGCTGTGGGACAGGTATTTCTGTGCTGGAAGAAACCTCCTCGGGCTCTACACTGACTGGCTAAAGTCAGATAAGCAACTACAGTAAGATCTTTGGGAAAATCAAGCAATCAGCACATGCTAGATTAAGAAAAGCAGAACAAATGGAAACTGGATGAAAAATAAAACTCCATCAAAGTTCCTGAGAGATTTTACAGAGACAGGAGGAGGCTGGAAGAAAGAGCTAGAAGTGAACTAAAGATTGGCAGCGGTGCTGGTGTAAATGAAGTGGTGAATCTGACAAATTGCTCTGGGAGCTGCTTTTATCTTTTGTCCCGGCCTTCACACTGAAGTGCAGCTCAGACAACAAAAGGAGAGACGGAGACAGCCGAAGTGACGTCGGGACGCTTGACTTTTAAAAAGTCCCGCGATCATTGTTTCAGCCGGCTAATCTGCCTACAGGTCTCCTGCACACTTTAAACAGCAAACAGATATTTTGTTCTGAAAGTTTAATCACGCTTCAGTCATGACGTGGAACTACAAGTTTTACAAGTTTGATCACAGCTTACTTCTCTTTTCAGTGGCGATGGTAACGTCCTTGCCTTCAGCCCCTCCCAGTTGAAGCCATTAAACCACCTTCAGATACATTAGAGAAAACACACATCTGTAAGTGTATTTATCTTCTCACATTTACATATATGAGTTTGACTCTGTCAGAACAAACGCAAAGTAGGAAACATCCCAATTTAAAGTTGTTAAATGTCACTTGATCTGGATCAAGAACTCTTTCTGTACATTTTACTTGGACTTTGACTTCTATTCCTGGCTCAGTATGGAAAATGAGAACTAGGTCAGCATCACGTTTAAGAACAACATATTAATCCCTGCATTATGAGTATATATTGTTTCCTGTAATGCGGTAGCCTCATGCTGTCTTTGTAAAGGAAAAAGGCAAGTGGCAATTTCAATCATTTGATAAGCCTTGACGATGTTTGCATCCGACTGCTCTTGCACACTGTTCAGTGATTATCTAATTGTAAAGGCTATAAACCACGAGCCTTCATCCATAATGTTCAATCACTGCTAATTTGTGGAACTAATCTTCCCGCTGAGATCCACAACAAATGAGTCCGTTCCTACTTACCTGTGCTTCTTAATATCAGTTATTCCATTTTTGAGATTGCCCAGTCGCTCTGAGGGGTTCCGCCTATAAAACAGATCAAAGTCAGGAAATTAACTCTTCACCAAATTACTGTGCTAGTTCCAAGATGGTTGGGTTATGTTTTCCTGCTCTGTTGTTCAGAGCTTGAAGAAAACTGTTTAATGTAGCTGGGTGTCAGGTATACTCAGCACATCAGCCATCATCAGACTCTGTCCTGAAAATCTGAATCGAGGATTTTGTGTCTACTTAAGCTTTAGGTATGTCGGCCTGCGCATGTGAGTGTGTACCTGCATAGCTTGCGTATGAGGTCCTCCGGTCTCTTTGTTATCTTCTTCGGGAAGTCCATCTTCTCAATGCCTCTCAAGATGAAAGTGTACGTCATCATCTGGTCAATTCCTGAGAACGGAGGACTGTGGAGTGAAGAAAGAATCGGCAGATATTCAGCAAGCTTTTAGCAGTACTTTGTGTAAAAATGACTGCAGGTCAGTGGGCAGAGTGAAGTGGATGAGTGAAAGGATGATCTTGCTGCACATTGGAATCACAGAAGAACGTGTGCTCTAACCTGCCGGTAAGAAGCTCAAACACCAGGATGCCCAAAGACCAAAAGTCCACACTGAAGTTGTGGCCTTTGTTGAGGATGATCTCTGGTGCCACATACTCTGGAGTGCCACAGAAGGTCCAAGTCTTCTGGCCACATCTGATCTTCTTGGCAAAGCCAAAGTCGACCTGGAAAAGGAGAGTTTAGTCTTTAAAGAGATGTTTACTGTCAGCCTGTCAGCATACAAGTATACAGTAATGTTGAAACTTTTAAAAGTCCTCTGGGGAGCCTTTAAGGCTTTTCCACAAAAATACCTGCCTACATTAAAAGCCTTACTCTTTAAGAAACCACTGTGCTGCTTATGTCTGCTTAGATGTCATAAAACATCCTGACGTCGAAGCAGTTTTATCAGACACATGAAAAAGAAACCAATCAAAAATAAATGTTTTATGTGACATGAATTTCTCCCTAATTCATTGTTTTCTTATCCATTCTACTCACTGTATCCATAACTAGCTTGTCATAGCATTTGTTCACTGCCCTGCTGGGTCAGCAGACGTGGTGTTCATGTGTAATGAAGCAATAATGTTGTGACGCTGTCAAAGTTTGACTTGCTTTCAGTAAATGTGCCAGTAACCACTAAAACTGTAGTTACAGTGCTCCCCCCTTCTTTTAGTTGCCCTTTTAATTGCTTATTACCAAACTATTTAAACTATGCACTGGTGCACGTTATTAAGACAGCGGCCAGAAGTCGAACCCAGGACCTTCTTGCTAACCCTTGTGCTACCATGCTCCCATTCTTATATTAGTGAATAATTCACCATATGTCACTAATACATGACGTACTCGGCAGAACACTAAACTTGTGACTCAAGCCACAAAACCTAAAGGCACCTGTGAGTCACAGATCAGGGCACGGTAGAGCTCACAGCACCCGCAGAGCAGAGGAATTAGCTGCATCAATTTGCACAGCATTTAGATGGATGACACAGAACGTGGGTGGAGAAAAAAACAAAGCAAAACGCTCACAGACCTGCCAAATGTCAGGCGCACACACAGGTGTGACCAAAGGAAATGTTTAGTTGTGCCTGACAGACTTTTTTGGTCGCAATTAAGACCAAAACGGTTGCATCCTGGAGTCTGGAAACACACATTTTGATTAAGCCTGATGACTCCAAACTATAAGAAATGCACTGGTCATCAAAGCGGGAGGAACATGCTGACAAGTGTTGTTCTTTCATGGTTCTGAGACAAAATGCGTTTACTTTCTGGAACTAATCTCACCAGTTTGATGTATCCTTCAGAATCCAGAATGAGGTTCTCAGGCTTCAGGTCTCTGTAGAGCACACCTTTCCGGTGGAGGTACTCGAAAGCCTCCGTGACACAGCCCACGCAGAATTTAGCAGCAGATTCATCAAAGCTGCCCCTGAAGACCAAAACCCAAACATCCTATTAAAACCTTTTGCAGCTTTTGGGACAGTGGCTCCAGACAATGGTTGGCATCTCCTACCTGTCCCTGAGCAGACTCCAGACCTCTCCACCCAGACAGGCCTCCAGCAGCATGTACACATATTTGTTATCCTTGAATGTGCGATACAGTCTGGAGAAAACAAAACACAAACAAGTTTAGCTTTAAATACAACAAATGCCATTTTATCATCATTTGAGATCAGCATTAGTCTTTTTATTCCTTTGATTTATTTATGTGGTTGACGCAGTTTCATAAAGAACCCGACAATATTTGAGACTGAAGACAACCAGACGTGCAGCTGGTGAAAGAACCATCAGGGGCAGACAACTGCTAAGACTCTCAGGTCTAAAAGATTTGCACATATTTAACCAAATCACTTTCTGAGTTATAATTCGATACCATCTGGAAAATCTAGTATTTATTCTATTTTGACTCCACTGATATTTTGGTTTTTAAACATGTCATATTTGCTCAATCAGCCATGAAAGTTGAATGAAAATGGCAACAATTTTATATTAAAAAGTATTCTTTATGCTATATTTACAACAGTATTGTTAAATTGAAATATCACATTCAAAATAATCAGTAGTTGTCATTTACAATGTGAATTTTCTTTTGTTTGTTTTAGTGTGTGGTCAACAGTGCTCTTCTCCAAGAAAGTAACAAAAAGAAAAAAGTAATCCCTTTACTAATTACTTATTTTCAAAAGTAATTAGTTACTTTATTACTTAGTTACTTTTTGAAAACATGATACACAACCCGGATAAGTAATGAAGCAATAGACCTTTCAGCCAAATTCTGTTTTTCTGCATAATCCATCATGTAAAATTGAATCAAATGAAAAAGTCTCTTTTGAAAACTTGTTTTATTAGTTTTAACTTTATGCAAAAATACGTTTTCTTCCCACACAGAGTGAACAGCGGACGCTAATGTTTTTGTCACTTTTTACGGAATCAAAGTAATGTCAGTACTTCCAAGCTTTAAACTCTGCATGGTCGCACGCGCTTAACGTCATTGTCACGAGACACTCTCACAAACAAAATCACGATTTAGTAACGCAGTAATGCAGCGTGCTTACGGGAAAGTAACGGTAATCTAATTTTTTTTGCAATACTAATCCCTTACTTTACTCATTACTTGAAAAAAGTATTAAAGTATTACAGTAACGCATCTCTGGTCCTCAAATGTTGGACTTTGCAGGAGTGCTGGACTTTTCTTGATACTGCCTTGATTTCAACGTGGGGAAAATCAGGTGGGTCAACGGCCCGTTTTTCAAAAAATTATATCTTGAAAACTGTTTGATAAATGATGCTAAAACTGCACAAAAATCATTGTATATGTTTAGACTGTAACATAAAATTGACGGTCTAGCAGAAGGCTGCTAGATTACCCATGAAAAGCAACAAAAATACAAAAAAATATAAACGGGAAGCAGGGCACCTAAATTATTAAATTTCGCCTGAGCTGTAATTATCACATAAATGAATAAATTCTTGCTTAATATATGAAGTAATGTTTTCAGATTTTAGTGTAAATAGGAGCCTAGATCGACATCCGTGATTCAACATTAAGCTTTAAAGGCTCTTAAAACTGCAGCATGGGTGTCAACCACTCCACCACAATGCCACCGTACGTAGCCTTAAGTCTTACATCACCCGACGTCGGTCTTGAAAACAGATTAGGAATAAAATAGGTACACAGAGTGTATGAAGAGGAGGTTAGCTGGATGAGCGTTACAGAAGGTGAAGAATGGCTTTAATATCAGAGTCTGTTCCACTGCATACGGTGAAATCGGATCATCGTAATCTCACAAAAGACAAAGAAAAGCTCCTGTTGCAATATTTCATAAGAAATAACCACATTTTCTTAGCAGACATCTCAATATCCCCTGCTATTCTACCCCACTGAGAAGATGTAATCTGCTCAGGTCCCCGACGGTGATCTCATCAAAAACTAATAAGCGCAGCATTGTGTTCCCAGACTAATGGAGCAGAGATTCATCATGTAGGATAAAAAATGGAAATGAGTTCCAAGGCTGGGCAAGAGGACGCACTTGACTACGAAAGGCGAGCGAGCCTCTGCGAGGATCCTCCTCTCCGAGTGGATGTGTTCTTCCTGCCTGTTGTCCACCACGTGCTTCTTTTTGATGACCTTGAGTGCAAAGGTGACATCCTCAGTCTTCACCTTCACCTGCAGATGGACATGACAGGGTGGGTGTGACTCAGCACAGACCTCAAACAGCAGGCATGGTTCCCATGTAAACATTAAGTTTACTCCTACCCATGAATACACCGTCCTAATGAACTTTCAGTAGAGTAAATTGATGCACTATCAAAATAATAATTTCTATATGAAGGTCAGATTAGAGTTTGCCAGAAAACATCTAAAAGAACCTGCACAATTCTGAAAAAAAGATTCTTTGCAACGATGAAACCAAGATTAACATGATGGGAAGAGAAAAGGATGGAGAAGAGCATCAACCATCGAACACGGTGGAGGTTACTAGTGTTTATTGATGGTGTTACTGCTGATACAACCAGCAGGATGAAGAGTGTGCAGGACTACACTCTCTGCAAAGATTCAACCAAATGCTGCAAAACCGGTTGCGCAGCGCTCATGGATAATAACCCCAAAAAGAAATAGGATATTCTTCAGTAGGCATTCTCAATCCAACAGATTGCATTTTTTCAGTTACTGCAGCCAAACTGAATGCTGGAAGATTCTCAAACTCACCAAAGGTCAGCTCTTACCAGTTCTACTCGTCCAAACCCGCCGACCCCAAGGGTAGCAATGACCTCCAGGTGATCAAAGGGCCTGGATGAAGAGAATTCGGAAACCAGTTCCTTCAGCTGGATGACTTCAGGAGACAGAGGCTGACTTTGGTGGCGTGACACAGACCTCCTGGATGGAAGACACAGACAAAAACAGAGTGTCTACCTTAACCTAAACATTTAGCAGGAGAAGCAGTAGATCATAACTACTGTACATCTGTGAGTGGAGTTTTCACGTCTGTAATTTTCAAATCATAATTTATTACAATTTAAGTGAATATCTGAGCATTTCCTCTGCTGACAAGTGAGCCAATGAAAACTTTAACAGAGAAAAAACAACTAACAGACGAGTGCCTCAGATGGCGAACACCAGCTTATGTTTTCATCAGGATTTTGAGCGAGTCTTCTCCTCGCTGTATTATCCGTAAAGCACAAGATGAGTGTGTTTGAAAAGGGATGAATGTGTAAAGCTCACAGAGTCGTTGATAGAAGTGGAAAAGTTCAATATGGATGCAGTAAGAACAGAAGCTTTTCAGTACTCGTTAAATACCCCGGATAGGAAGGATGGTGTGTCACGTTTCTACTTTAACTTGGTAAAAACAGCTGAACTGAAACAAGAGGTAAAAAATCTAAGCATGAAAAAACTATAACGTGAATCTCCTTTGCAACACGAAAACTTAACAAACTGCAGACATTGTATCAACCCAGAAGCTGAGAACAATTACACATTGCAGTGATGTGCAGTTTGTTTTGCAATAAGTAGTCATTTCTCTGTAATGCAACCCATTTCTTTTTCCATGCTCAGAACATTTTTGTTCACTGTCCTGAACATCGGGTACTGCACCTACTTGGCATGTCTCTTCTTGTCGTCGCGATCGAGTGTTGCCACGTACCCTTGGAGGTACTTCTGCAGCTCATTGAAGGTGCCCACCGTCTGATCAAATGTCCTAGAAAAAAGACATCGGCACATTAGCAAACGAACCACTGGAATGTTGGCTGATTCCAAATCTGAACTCAGATCACTGATAGTGATCGAACACGGTGAGATAACGAATGAATTTTTGTGGGAAAACGTCTGGAAAAAGAAAATGTTGACACCGGCTGAAATGTATCAGAGTACAGCTTTGTTCTTCATCACAGACTGGCGTCTTTGTTCAGAGTCATTATCGGGTGAACAAAAGCATGTCTTTTACAACCTGTTAGGCATTATTTTAAATCTCAATACTCACTCTCTGTCGATGACGAGGCACTCCACCCCGTTCTCATCAGCAATGATATTGGCAGACCTGACGTCGTCACTGAAAGAGATGTGAATCACATGCACACAAAAACTAAGACAACTGTACATTTTACAACTGTTTTCATTGTGAATTTGGCATTATGAAGCTATTTCTACCTCTGCCCACATTATGCTTTTGTGTGTTTTTTCTGTGAATACAAAACTTGAAACATTTTTAAATCATTCTGATAAACAATTCACTAAAATTTAGTGAATAAAAAGTTATTCATGGTTACAGATTTATTGGTGGAAAGTTGACAAAAAGCCTTTAAAGTTTAAAGATTTAAAATATCATGTCAGACTTTTAAGGTCAGTAGATTGATCTGAGGGTGCTATAAAGCCACTTAAAACTATGTTTCTTATTGCCATTGTTTGTATTGACAACATATCGGGAATGATGTCTGGGATCTGAAATATCACGTTACTTTGGACCTCTGATCTCATCTACAAGGTCAAATAAGGTCAAACTTTCATAGAATACTTTTTAAAATGGTTTTCAAAACATGTTTTTAATTTCTACTATCTTTGTTTCTTGCTGCAACATTTAGGAAATGATACTGGCATAAGGAGATTCTAAACATCACATAGTTTGCATCCAAATATCATGTCACATTTCTTTTTCTTTCTTTTTTATGTGTTATGGCTTTAAAGACAAAAGAATGAGCTGCCTAATTAGTTCTTACATATAAAAGAAAACAAAAACAAAACCCTTCCCTTAAAAACACCGAGAGAGTGAGCTGGTTCTTGTTTGTTTATGATGCGTCGAAGAGCGCTCCACATGATTTCCAAAGCTGTGGTTGGTTCATTTTTCAGATTTTGTCTATATTCACTAATTAATTGTTTTGCACTATGTTATCCTAGCATTGGTCTCGGTATTGAAGCAGGTGCTGCGTTGTGTTACCTCCCAATCCTTACCTTTAATATTCATCTATATAGCACCAGTCCACAACCATCCCCTGACGCTGTTTGAATATGAATATTTCAGTCTTTTGTTGACATGACCTGACTGTTGCTGTATTTTACCTTATAAGTGCTTTTTCTCCAAAGTAGTCTCCCTTCTGCAGCGTGTTGATGATCTGTGGCAGCTTGTGGGCCTCGGTGGTCTGGGTCACTTTCACCTGCACAAGACAGTTTGCTGGATGTTCATCTCTTCACCTCCTACAGACGCTTTTAATTTTCTCTAATTTTTTTTAAAGCATTATAAAAACATAAAATGCTAAAGAACTGAAACAACCTTCCAAATGTTTGAGTTTAGTTTAAAGTCTTCTCTAATAGTACATAATCTGAAATGTCGTAGATAACAGTTACTGATTAACATTTTGTATAATCAGGCATGATTTTTAAAGCGACGTCGACGTGGACCCGTTTTTAAAATCCTCTCTCCTCCCCTCTAGGTTTGTTAAACGGGCAGAGACTTTTAACAAACCTGTTTTCTTCAAAAAAATTAAATAGTCTGAAACTCAACATTTTTTCTGTAGAAGACATGGATACAGTCTGCAGTACTCTCTTCATAAATCCACACAGTCAGGCCTCCGTGGCCTTTAATGAAGCTTCCAGATGAGAACCTGTCTGTCTGTCAGACGATGATGTATCGCTGTTCTTTTTCTCTTGCTACTTCGGTTCAATCTAGTTTGTCCAGTTTGCAGGACAGATTAGATGTCTTTGCTAGCCTGAGAAGGCCTTGGTGTCCCTCCACTTCTGGCAGAGCTGGATGGGGAGCTGGTAGCTACGTAGCTTTAACACTTTAAAACAGTTCTTCGAAATTGTTTTGGATTTCCCCTCATCTCACCTAGACGACTGTGTGACACATGGCCTGGTTTTTCTCCTATTTTTTTTACACAGAAGTGATGTTTGGTGAAAGCAGGCCCTCAAACTGAACGAATTATAATGAAGATTACATTAACTATTAATTTAATGTTACAGTGCGTACACAAATGTGCTTTTAAGGAGTAGTGTACTTAACATGGAACATGATGGGCCCAGTGTGATGTGGTGGTGTTGAAGTACTTTATGCTTTCCTGACTTGCTGTTTGAATAGAAGTATTATTTGCATAACAGACGTCTCTGATTTTCCTCTTCAAACTGTTGCCTGCTCGAGCTGCAGGCTTCCACCATTCCACGCCTGCAGCCTGAGAGTTGTCAAACCTTTCAGTAATTTGTGAAGCACTGAAAACCAGCGGCCCACCCTGGCCGAGGTCAAGCGTCCCACTGGTGGCATCGTGGTGCCGACAAAATGCCACAATTACATCACAGCCGTTATGGTCAAAGTGTGCTTTAGCTAAGTGTCCCATTTGACCCCACTGACCTTTACTTCCCTGTTTTTCCTGATGGCAGGCACTCTCAGATGTTATTTCTACCCTCGTTTGGGGGGGGGGGGCATTTCCTGTATTAGCCCCCTTCTTTCCAAACAACATGTGTCTCTCTTTGGTTTGGTTTGGTTTGGTTAGCTTAGCGCTGAAGAGCTGCAGTCTCGGATCAGCTCATAATGGCATTTTGAGAGTCCCCGTGGACAGCTCTGGTGTCGGGTTCCCGACTTATCAGACAGACTGGCGGGTGAGTCATAGCCCTACAACTCCCCAGACTCACGTACAGTTTGGTCAACATACTGGTCGACATATTGGACTGTTACTGAGGGAAGACACTTATTCTGTGTGTGTTTAATCTTGTCTTTTGGACATTTTCTCTCTTAATGATTAAATGTTAAACGTGATATGAGGCAGGTATATTACCAAGATGCTCCTCTTTCTTTTGTTGGAGATGTGCTTACTATAAAACACTGCTGTATGCAGCGTCGTTTTCATTTGTGGAAACCAGATTGAAGCAACGTCCTGCAAAGCTTTGAGAGTCGAGCGGTGCTCGAGCAGCTGTTTGGCACTCAGGCTGAGTAACAAGAGCTTTTGCTGCAAATACGGGAGCAGCATCCGGATCCGTGCAATGGAGACATCATGTAGTATTATCTCACCAAAGGACTTGAGGATTTATTCTATTGTTGGAAGACAGGATTATGGCTTGTGTCCCTAATGAGTGCCATTGTTGCAGAAAATGTCTCAGAAATCTCTGCAGTGCAGCTCATGTGTTTTATATTTTTATAACTGACAATAGCAAAAACTATGAATGACAAGTTAGACTGACTGGCAACATAGAAAGCATTTACTATTTTTGATTAATAATTCTTAAAGTAAAAGTAGTAATGCACTGATGCTATTCATAAAAATGATCTAGTTTGGTTTTGGTGATTAGTTTATTCCAAAACTGCAACAACAGCAGCATCCTGCTCAGTTATGAAGCAAATATCCACAGAAATGACTGCTGAGGGCGAGGATGTACGGCTTGTTTCTTTTTGAGAACGATGGGTTATTATTAGCATCAACATATCCCAGTTTACAGCTTATGAATGACAGGTTAGCCAAGCCCCAAAGCCCCCCATTTGTTTATTGACTCTTTGACTGTATTTGTAATCATAATTTGCAAAAGGAGGATCAGGCTGTAATAAATAAGACTTACAACCAGTAACTGAGACCACGAACTCAACAAGAAAATGTTTACTAAGGTCGTGAATCAAGTGAGAAGTTGGATCGTTTTCTCAAATACTTCTAATAATAATGATAATAATGGATTGCATTTATATAGCGCTTTTCAGGGCCCTCAAAGCGCTTTACAATTCCATTATTCATTCACTCTCACATTCACACACTGGTGGAAGCAGCTACAGTTGTAGCCACAGCTGCCCTGGGGCAGACTGACAGAGGCGAGGCTGCCATATCGCGCCATCGGCCCCTCTGGCCATCACCAGTAGGCGGTAGGTGAAGTGTCTTGCCCAAGGACACAACGACCGAGACTGTCCGAGCCGGGGCTCGAACCGGCAACCTTCCGATTACCAGACGAACTACCAACTCTTGAGCCACGATCGCTGTCAATAAGACACCCCCAAAGAATCTCCCCCTGCTGGCCAGTAGAAAGAATGCAGGTTTAAAGCACTTCTGAACTGGCTTCACTTCACAAAGGCTAAATCTTTTCTTAATATATAGTGTATCGGTGTCAGAAGCAAGTTTAGGTTTAGCATAACCCTAAATTAAAAGAGTTGCTCTTTGAATCATGTGGCTTTGTGTTCGTGCAGCTTGTTCAACAAACGACAGACACGTTACCTTTCCTTGTGCGATGATGTAAAAGGTGCTGCCCTCCTCTCCCTCTCGGATGACGTACTCGCCTTTGTCATAGTATTCCTAAAGGGAAGGAAGGGTGTGAGATCGGGGGAGGACAACCGTCAGAACTGAGACGTTGCATTGATTTAATCACTGGAGCAGCCGGTCTGATTCCTGGTAGCCGGGCCCTGCGGGCTGAGAGCAGCTGTCAGTGACGCTCAGTCATTCAGAGCCTCTCAGCCTGCTGTTCAGCAGAGATTTTTAGGGCTCATGGGGAAAATGAAAATTAAGTCAATAGAAAAATATTAATTATGATGTTTTTAATGTCTGTTAATGGGGGCTTGAGTTAGGATGAATTTGTCAGCCAATTTGTGTTTGACACGTGTTTTAAATGAACACTGAATGAACCTCAAATGAATGCTTGAAATGAGGTACGAATATTTTCCGCAGAGAGGGCTGAAATTAACTTTTCAAAATGCCACAGATTTAAAAATTGCACTGAGGTTTATGATTACACAGAGACCACAGAAATGTTTTCCAATTAAACTGGTTTAAAGTGATCATTTAGATATAATATGACGTGTATATAATTATTATATTATATGATGTGAATAGCTCTATATTGGATGGAGCTTTAAGATAATAAACTGACTATACAATGCACACAGTAAAAAAGGTCCAGCTGACACATAAAGTCAATATTCCAATTAATTCCAATTAATTTCAAATACAAATCAGTCACTGACTAATCATTTGTTACATAACTGAATCTACAAAACAGGCCCTCTAAACTCGGTGGCCGACAGGTGGACACACACCTGCGCTCTCTGTGATCTAATACTATGTTTCTACCACTTCGCCAGTTAATTAACAAGATTTGGAATTGGTGATGCAATATTGGCCCATGATGGATCGTGAGATGATCGATGGGTAGTGTCAGATGACTAGTGTAGACTCACAAGTCCCACATGGACATTTGTTTTGCCACTTGGCATCCACAGGGGGAAATCATCTGCACTGGTGGACACACAGAGCCTGCTTAGAGTTCTATTGTGATACATTGTTGCTCTGTAGTGCAGATCGTGTCCCGCATCAGTGTGTTATCATAATACTACAAACATTACTCACAGGTGAAAAGACAATTAGTCAGCCAATCAGAAACATCATATAATAAAAAGCTGTTATGTAGTTCAGTCATCATGACACGCTCCAGCGACTTAAAATCACGCTAGACTTGTTTCAGAGTTTAACTTTAGGAGCGTCATAAAACCGAGCGACACTCTGAAATTCTCGAGTCAAACACTGAGGTGCAGCACGTTCTGCCAGCTCTCTTCCAGAAACAGATTCCTCCGCTTCATCCTGTCAGTCGCTGTTTCTCTGAAACCAACATCTCAAGCATCCCAACCGCAGCATTAAAACCAGACCGCTGAATCAGCGAGCTGGCAGATCGCCTTCCATTTTAAAGCTTTTAGGTGAAGAAAGGGAAGCACGGCGAATGAAGGTGACCAGGATGAAATGTTGCCTGGGACAGAGGCCAAGTTCCTGCAGCTGAGACAACCGTCCGCGGCTATAATCCATTTGACTATAGAGGACCAGAAGTGAACAAACAAATCAGAGCAACCACGCGTAAACATTCCCGGGTGTTTACTGTCAAAACTCTTGACACAAGTGGCATTTTCCTTGAGCGTCCGAGACTGTTTACGCCCCGTTTACGCTTCAGGAGAGCCTAGTTTAACACCAGTCAGTGACAGCGGAGACAACATGCCAGGGCTTTGTTTATAAAGACTGTCTGGATGAAGCTGTAGAGGTGCAGATGAGCGACGGCGTTTGACTTGTGTCTCAGGTTTGTTATACCAGACAACTAAGCTTGTCAAATTTAAACGCACGCCTCTTTATGAAAAGTCCTCTAACCTCCAACAATTAAATGCCCTTCTGTCCTACTTTACACTAACTTCTGGTTTGGTCAGTGGCAGACAGCCACTTGTGCTCAGCTGTGTTTGAGTTAAGTTCGAGTGCAGTCGTTCTGTTTGTTTCCAGTCAGTCAATGAGGAACAGCAGACACTAAAAATGCATGTTTCTCCATGCTTGAAGTTGCAGATGCACTGTGGCGGGGATCACTCTAGTCTTTAGCAGCCCCCACGTGGACAGGCTTCCCAGTGCAGCCCCCTGAGCGCATCGTGCTGATTTCAAAGAACTGTTGAAACAGTGATGATATGCACACTCGTGCATGATTTATAAAGTGTTCACGACAGTGACGGAAGGAGATTTTTTTGGTCTTTCCCACAGACTGACACTGTATTTGTGGGACATGACAGAAGGGGCACCCATGCCTTTTGAAATAAATTATTAAATAACACCATATATACTTAAGTTAAATAATAAATGAGGATTTTGCTGCCTCTCCACTATTCCAGACTGCAGTCAGTGCTATAGATGGCGGCCTACCCCATGCACTCCAAGCAGGGGGTAGGCAAAAGGTAACCAAAATCATTTTGTTTCCATGGTGAACATAATTAAATCATACATGATCTGCAAAATTCAACAACTTGACACTTGTTAAATTTATTCTTGTCGAGATGAAGTGATGCAATCTTCCAAGAGTGGTTAACTGTCTGGACTTGTGATATCACAAGATCACGCAAGATTTCAAACCACAGGAAAATCACTGGAGTTATAAGAGGCAGAAAAGCATACGCACATCACGTGTTTGTGGTTTAACCTGTCAAGGACAAAAACTTAGAAAATTCTGCATCAAGCCTTGTAATCATAGCTTTCCTACTTTTTTACTGTCTGGCGTGACAGCTCGGCAGTGGCGTTTCACCAGTGCTAACAGCAAGAATCCACCAACTGGCCATGGGACCATGGGTTCTCTCTGGGTACGCCACAGTCCAAAGACATGCAGGTAGTGGGGTTAAGTTAACTGGTGATTCTAAATTGCCCAGAGATGTGAATTGAGTGCAAATGTTGTCTGTCTCTGTGTGTTAGCCCTGCGATACACTGGCGACCCTGATAACAATAAGCGAAAGAGACTGGATGGATGGAGTGACGGATATACCAAAGCTGTTATAAATCCATTAAAGTTTCATGTTAACACTCCAAAGAATAACTCTTTAAATGAACTTAAAACAATCATGGATTTCCACAATAATAAATGGCTTTCTATTAGCATTAAGTACTTTTGTTGGACTAATGTCATTTACATGGGTTGAATCAACTTACTTAAATTAACTTGGACTCAACTGCAGTAAATAAATTGATTCATCATTGATTAATTAAGCTGATCCAACTCAGCTACATTAAGTTGAAATAACAGAATTGTGTAATGCTAAAATTAAAGCACTTTAATCACTTGGAAATCCTTGTCATGATTTTTTTCGAGTGCGTTTTCATCTGCTCTGCATCCTTGGTGAGCTGAGTGTCGGGCCACCTGCTGTGGGATCTGGTTAGTTTGTCCCTTCAGCTCACACTGGAGCTTAAATTTTAAGCATCTGAATCTGAGCTTGTTAGCCGAGCTGGGCTTCAGCATTCAGGCTCCGACTCCAGGCTGCAACTTTCAGGGTTGGCTTGTCAATCCACGTGATGACATGACAAGATGTTGCACGCCAGGCGCACAAGTGAATGAAAGGATACATTCTTTTCGTTGCTGTTTTATGTTTTTACTTTCAACAGACCCACTTTTTTTGGTCACTGAATCTTTCCAGTTCAAATTCCAACCAGCTGATCATACTGAAAATCATCAGAGAGACCTAAAAACAACTACTCCCTTCACACACTCACATGCAAAACACACCAAATTCCATTACCCACTGTTTGACAAGACGCTTCAATACTATCTGGCGGATTCTCACTGAACATCTGCACCGCTATTAGGTTACAGCTGCCCCCCTGAGAGGCAACAGAATCAGCTCCATTAGAAATGACTGAATAAGGAGATTCTCGTAGCAGGACGAGCGACGACCGCAAAGATCGTCCTTGAAGTTTCCATTGTGAAAAGAAATGCATTGCTTACGGAGAAAAAACGGACTATGCACGGGTCTCCTGCATGCTTCGGCTTACACAGTTACACACACTTCATGGTCTCACACCAAAAGCCTGTCACTCGCACATCTTTAAGAAATCACTCGTCCCCCATTTGAATAAACAGTTTCTGGGGCCTTAGTCAAATAATTATGGTAACAATATACAGCACCCAGCGATGACAGCAATAATATCGGCTCTGTTCATCAACAAGGTAATTTGTGAGGTCTTGCAACTGGCGGCAGAACGAATATGCTGACATGCAGTAATGGTATATGGCCAAATGGTAATGATATTTTGACAGCAGCTATCTGCAAAGCTGGGGCTCCCACGAGCTGCCAGAAGGTTGTGCAATACTGAGGCAATACAATGAAAAGTCAGGAGAAATAAAGATAATTTGACAGAATAACTTACCACCTCCAGGCAGTCCACTATTTTGCTTAGCTTGTCGTCTGGTAGATTAGCCAAAAGTGAAACACTGACGCAAAAGAAAAAGAAAAAACAGGCATTACATTGTTAAAACAAATCACTACATGTTATTATGCAGAACCTGGTTTCCTGTGTCACAGGACACCACAGTTTCAGACAGTGCAACAAATCGATCATTTGTTTAATGTCTCGTGGTATTGACTTAGATCCTGTGACCCAGTTTTGATGATAAAATACACTTGCGTAGCATTTTATCATGACCTGAAGCAAACCTTCCTCACTGACCCACAAACCGTCTTTGGTGTTGTCTTGACAACACTGGACCCCAAAGGCAAAGAGAGAAAATGTCTGCACAAGGAGGCAAGACGGGTGGCGGTGGCACAAATCACAGGATGTTTCTTATAGTTTTGGCCCTCGGCGAGAGGTGTTTTACCTAATGTGGTCACGTCAGGTACACACCCCACCCTCCCGCTGTTAAAGTCTTTATTTTGGGAGGGGCAACCAATCAGAAGAAAGCCAAGATAAGAAAGCTAAGCTTCCTAAAGAAAGATGAGAAGGAAGCAGAAACAGTTTGTTGTTGTTGTTGATCTAAAGGGCTGCATCGAGCACCAGTATTACATAAAAGGATTATTTTGAACTGTGAATCATGCACAGCTATTCTAGTAGACTCCAAGAATAAAAACACTGAGCTGGGAATGAGCAAAATAGGTCCCAGTTTGGACATAGTTTGGCACTAAAAATATTTGGTTAGGTGTGGAAAACGGTCCTGTTTGGGGTTGAAATAGACAGCTTTGTTCCTGCATGCTGGAAAAAAGTTGTGAAAAAGATGTAAAATGTGACACCACGGGGTGAAGCACCTATTCATGAGGAGTAAAGGGAAGCTGCTCGTGCTATTGCTCTGACCGCACCAACACCACCGGACATCTTGTATTCATATGTCTGTTAAATGTCTCATTTGATCATTTTATTGGTGTCAGGAGTTTTTGTTGGACAGTCTTAGTGGACTTGAAGCTAACCTTCGGAGGAAGTTGCGATACTGTTCGTGTCGTGTCTCGGCCGTCCTCCTCATAATGTTCTGGAAAACTTCCCGATCCAAAACCCACGTCCTCACTTTGTTCACAGCTGTAGAAGCAACACAACATGCATCAGTACCACTACATGACAGCTGACTGACAGCTGGTTTAAAAGCAGCGTGTGCTGATAACAGCCATGCTGGAAAACTCACAGCACCTTGTCATTAGACACATGAAAATGCTTTGTTTTTCCAAATGGACAAAGGAGGTGAGAAAAACACTGTAATCTGTCCTTTATCTTGATGCTGAGTCACTTCAAATCAACAGAAACTCTGAGGCGGGCCTCTGTTGGTAAAAGGAGGAAGTAGCTGTGAAGGTTTGACATGAACCAGTAGCAAAGAAAGAGCTGCTCTTTATCTGCTTCATCTGTTATCACAGAAAACCCGCTGAGAGGCTTGTCAAACTGTCAGGGGTTTTCCAGTGCACCCTGAATATTGAGGTCATTTTGGCCCCCCTCCCCCAAGGACCAGCAGTCAATTTACTTGGTTAAATATACAAACTGAGACAAAGAGCACTCACATACTACATGGTATGCACTTTCCAAATGCCAAGAAGACAAAAACCAATCAGCACGAAAAGCTGCGGCTGTCATGTAAAGCCTCTGTCAACACAACCGCGCTGACGCGTGTTTGCTTCCCATCCAGGTTCTTCTGCTCAGCGTTTTAAGGAGCCTGAAACTCAGACGGAGGTCACTGATTCTTTTGTTATTGACGTCAATTCTGGAAGTTTCACAAATGCAACGCCAAAGCGATATGCGTCGACATATCGATTATTTATTTTTTGTTTTTTCCACTCATATAATGCTTTATTGTCTGCCTGTGCTCTCAGCAGAAGTCCAGGAATAAGGACAGGAACCCCTCATCAAGAAAAGGGACAGTTATTAGAATTTAAACCTCGCCTGTAAGATTCTGAGCTGAGCACAGAGTCATGTCACAGGCGCCACAGCAAAAATCAGGTTAAATTTGATGTGTGAGGCTAAATGTCTGGATCACAGCAGTTGTTTTAACAATTCAAACACACACGTCTTTAATCTTTTAATACATGTGCCTGACGCTTTCTTTAAATGTGACGTCACTGAGATCACACAGCCATACAACGTCCACTCCACACACACAGACACGCTTCCCACAGGGTCTCCCTGTTCAGCAATGACACGTCTGCGGCGTCTGGACAGTAACTATAGATGTTAGAGCGGTGTGGTGTTGCAGCGGTTAGCACTGCTGCCTCTCAGCAAGAAGGTTGTTGGTTCAATTCTACTCTTTAAAGAATTTAACGAGGAGTGTGGAGGATCAAACGTCCCTTTCACTTTCCTGCCAAATGTAAAGGGGCGTATTTTCTCTGATCTTTTTCACTTTTTATCCAAACCTCAGTGTTCTTCTTTATCTTTTTAACATCTGCTCAACAAGTTTTGGGGATATCAGTGGATTATTTCGGTCACCTAGGAATTAAAAATCCCAGAGCCATTTTTTTTCATTTATGCTCAGTGAGCAGCTTTCACCGGAAACAACAAGGTGCCGTCTTGAAACACATTAATCAGATTTCATAATATATTCATGGCTGTCATGCCCAAGGCCTTCTTCAAAGACGAATAACTGCCAGAGACCATTGTTGTATTAAACTTAAACACAGAATAGAATTGACAGTCTTCAATGGGCTTTTGGATTTCCTACTTCTTTCCTGTCCCACTATCAGAGCTCTGCTAGTTCTGCTCCGTACGTGTAACCTGATGATAAACTTTTAAACTGGAACACTGCGACGCTGCATGTAAAGGTACAGTCTGGAAAAAGGAGGAAATGGGACACTGGGCATTAGGCTTGCGTTACATTTGGTGTTTGATTTTGTCTGCTGCGTGGGTCGCGGGTGATTCAAACCCTGGGGCACTCAGTGTGTTTCAACCTTAAAAAAAGCGTCCTAAACACACTGAGCTCTGATGTAGTTTCACTCTCTACTGTACAAATTCAAAACAAGCAAAAAGAATTATGGATGCACAGCCACATTAGATCCAGCTGTGCAGAAAATACTTACTTCTTCTTAGATTTTTCTCCTGTTTGTTGACAAAGAATTTTATGAGAAGTCGTACATTAAAGGAAGAAAATAGAGCATAAAACATAAAACAGCAGCTTAAGTGCTCCTTGACATTAATCCTTGTCTTGTCTGTGGATTTCTGAAAGGATGAATAAAACACAGACATTCCCTGGTTTGATGTTTTTGTGGTGCTGGTGCAAAATCTTCAGGTGTTCAGCTGGCTTGAGATCTGGTGACTCTCAGTGTCACAAGATGTGTGAATCACTTTTCTGGTCACTGAACCATTCAGTAACCCCGAGTGCATCATCAGCTGCACGAAACCATCAGGGCAGAAGGCTTTCACTGGAAGGTAAAGGTGATCATCCAGAACCAGTTTGTATTGATTTTAGTGGGAAAAAGCTGTATGACTCTAAAACAGATTTGCCTTTACCTCGCACTGATGCGGTCCGCGTGCAGTTGTACAGAATGGCTAACTCCCCAAACGCAGTCCACACCATTATCGATGTGATCAGTTTGTTATGCTGAAACACATCCAGCTTCCCATCTGCAAATATGAAACAAGGACAATCAATAGGTTAAATTTTTAAACCCCAAATTTAGGACACAGACGATGAACATATCAAGAGCTAACTGAGTGACTTTTACATCTCACTTCATTCATTAAGGTCACGGTAATATCGTCTAGGTGAAGCTTCATTAGGTTTGTGTGCTTTTCAGGATTTCACCTGGCAGACGTGCCTCTTTAATATGCTGCTTCTCAGATTTATCAGGAAGAGAGAACATTTCCATTAAATTTCTAAATCTGCATATGAGACCAGAAACCCCACAAATGTCCCTTCTTTCTCATCTCCACTATAATAGAAATTGTAGCACAAATCATGATTAAAGAAGAGTTCTTTAGTCATTATAATTAGCAGCTGCTGATGTCTGCGTGAGTATTTAAAACCTCTGATGATGAATAATTATTCATCAGAGCTGTTTTGGTAACTCTTCACAGCACAAAACAAACGCTGTGTCGATTTAGCTCAGGTGCTGAAACGTCAGAGCTCAGCAGATCAACAAACCAGGACTCTGTAATCACTGAATTTTGATGCGGTTTCCTGCCCAGGGTGAGACATCGCTTTAACACCAGACGGCAGAAGAAACACTTACTTTGTCTCTGACGAGCAAAAGTCAGTTACTGGCAGAGGACAGACCATTGCTCTGAGGCCGCGTGGTCTTTTAAAAATACACTTAGTTGCCTGGTTACAACCAAATATAAACTGAATTTATTAATACATGAATACATCTAAATGAATAAGAAAGAAAAGATGAGGGGAGGGTAGGTAACTGTGAATGTATTAAAAATAAAGACGTAGTGGGTTTTAGTGCATTTCACTCAATGTCCTTCCAAAATGAACTTTTTCTCTCTCCTGCCATGAATACATCACACCAGCTACATTAATTCAGTTCACTTCAGTTTTATTTATATAGCAACAAATCACAGCAGCAGTTGCCTCAAGGTGCGCTATATTGAAAGGTAGAGACCCTACAATAATACAGAGAAAACCGCAACGATTACATGACCTCCTCTGAGCAAGCACTTGGCAAACGTGGGAAGGAAGAACTCCCTTCTAACAGGAAGAATCCTCCAAGTGAACCTGGCTCAGGAAGGGGCGGGGCCATCTGCCACGACTGGTTGGGGGTGATCAATCTGTTACATGTCGGTTAGTTAAACTTTTAAACTTTTATACATTTGTATATACCTTCAATCTGTGCCTAACAGTCCAACCAATCAGACCCCTGCTGTTATTTTACTTTGATGTTATTGGCTCATTCTCAGACTGGCTGTAGCCAATGAAAGGAAAGATCTCACATAGACCACAAATGGTCTTCTCAGAATGACACGACACGCACAGCAGTCACTGCTCAGTTCCAATGAAGCCGCAGTCTGAAAGCAAAGCACCAGGTTCGTTTACAATTTTGTAGCCAGACTGGACTGTTTGAAACATTTCTACTAGCAAAACAACAAATGCCCTTCCTGGCTGTCGTATAATCACATAGTAAAAGAATGGGATTGCACTGATTATCAAATTCGTGGCTGATGCTGATGATTTGGAGAAAAATTTACCAGAAGCCGGTGCAGTTATTTATTTATTTATTTTCATTCCTCGCCTCTTTTAAAGGGAAACAGAGAAATTTTCATTCAATAAATGAAGTCTTTTCTTTGAGCAATTAAATTGATGAAAATTAGCCACATTTACTGACTGAAATATTTGCCGTTATGCCATCGACAGCCAACGAGATTTTGGTCTGTAGCGCTGAACTGATAAATCAGTGCATCCCTCCGTACTCTTCACTCAAGAAAGTACGAGAAATACAAACCCTAACCCTATTGTTTCAACACACTCATCGGGTGGTGTTTTATAAAACCCAAGCCTTGTTACACTTTGGACATCTCACCAACCTCGACTACACCGAGGCCAAATTCATGACCTCTGAGTTTTGTAATCACTGCCTGTTCCCAATGAGAAAACACATCTCTCTCCTTTATTAACACCAGTGAGAAAAAATGTAAGCAGAAGACTCCCAAGTGGGATCTGCTGTCTGCACTTGTGTTAAATGTTCCGCAAATCCATTTATTTCTGTGTTATTCTTTGGAGAAGTGAAAAAGCTTTTTACTGGTTTCCCTTCAGTTCCTAAGAGAAACCACATGTAATCAACACTAAGTGACTGCATTTCAGGTTAGAAAAACACTGACAAAGAGCAGCAAAATAACTGGGAAAAAAATTCCCAGAATCAGCCCCAACAAAAGCAAAACAAATGTCTGAAGAAATGGTGGCGCGTTACCCAAGGAGGATGCACAATGTCCCTCATGCAGGTGCCTTTCATTTCCCTGTCTGGAAGGGCATCCAGCACATGTATATGTGGCCACTGTGGCGCCTGCATGTGAATAAGAGCAGCTTAAAGTAGCTTCTAATTGGATGATCAAACTTTCTGCCCTTCATCGTTTGTGCATGTGTGAAATCTGTACATTAAAAGTCAAATTGTAACTTTCAAAAGTAGCCCTCCATATATCCATTTTCATGACATCTGAGGCTTTAACAAAAACAAAGCACAGATGGTGCAGCTGTGCCGCACAACACAGTTAATTGACATCGCTTTTAAAAGCCCTTTGCCTCGACTCCTGTTTCTCTCTCTCCTCCTCCGCTTGCATCACTGGTGGGAGGGGCTAAGCTGTGAGGCGAGGAATCAAGGATTTAATCAAGTGAGAAACAAGAAATGTCCTTTAATCCAAAAGCCTTATCAAAGCCAGGCCTTCTAGCAAGGGCACGTTCAAACCTGAAAATGATGCTCAACGTTTTGCTGTGAACATTTCTCCTCAAAAGGATGCGATAACGGGCAACAGGACAACCTCCAAAGTTATTTGCTACCTCACCACAGCGTCTTGTATATTCACCCTGTTGTGTTTGAAAAGCATGCATACAGAGAGTGGGCTTCTCTTGGTGCAAAACTTGAGTGACCTAACAGGTTAATAACAAACCACCAACAAAAAGAAAACGAGTCAAAAAACTTGAACGCAGCCCAGCTGGTGATGCAAACTGTTGCTTCCTCATAGCACATGGCTTCACATGTTGCTCTGGCTTCTCATTGGGCATTATGTGTCATATGACATCTTACACAAACGTTGGTGCCACAAGAATAAGCATGCAACAGTAAACTGAAGCAAGCGGTGGATGGAAGTTTATTTTTCCTTTCAAACTTAACTCCGGACTAAGAAGATGACAGGAAGCGAAAGTACCTGCCAGGACAAACAGATGGTTCCCAGGCTCTCCCTGCTTGATGACGTACTCTCCCTGCTGGTAAGTGTGCTCATACATGCACTCCACCATGTCTTTGATCTGCTGCAGCTCCAGCCTCTTCAGGTATTGGTTCTTGTTGAGGGCATCTGTCAGCAGCTTCTTTACACTGTCACAGACAGCAACAGGAGAGAAGTTAGAGAACCGAGCTTTACCAAGTGTTGCTGTTTGAAGATTAGAAAGCACAGTCTGTGTTCCCTGTAAGATATGAAAGAGTGAACATGACTGCAGGAGCAGTTACAGGCCCGCTGCTTTGTTTATCACTCGGAAACGTTTGCGTTTGTTTTATTGTTCTTCCTTTAGGAGATGAGAGATTCAGGAGTGAAAGTAGTGGAACCAAACTATAGTCATCTTTCAGCTGCTTTTACTCCTGCACTTTATTTTGAATTAAGTAAACAGTGCACGGGAGAAAAGCAAAGACAGAAAGAAGAAACTTTTACTTATCAGTGGAGAGATGACTTTGAGTCTCTTCACTTCCTTTCTTGGTTTTCACGTTTTCCTTTCTCCCCTTTCCATCTGTGTCTGTTTCATCCCTCAAATTATACTTTAAACACTGAAAACCATAAAAGTCACCTCTTATATATTTAACCAATGTGATCTTTTGTTTTCATGGACAGTTATTTGGAGTCTGATATACATTTAAATGCTGTAAAAAGATTCTACGGTGAGAGTAGTTTTCCTCAGAGGGACCGCTCACCCCAGCATCAAAGGTAGATGTTGGTGTTTTCAGTGCGGTTCAGTGCTTTCTTATGCTGTAGAACCAACCACTCAGTTCTTTGGAAAATAATTCTGATTAACATCAAAAAGAAATGATTAGAATATTAGCAGAAATTCTGTTATTTTCTTTTTGCACTTTTACATTTTCATAACTCTTAACATGGTGACAGGCGCCTAAAACTGTTTCCCAGCCTTATATGAAATTTGTACACAAGTTAAATTCAGTCACAGGTTGGAATTATTTCTTTAAAATTTGCGTTGCCATCATTCTTTATTATGAGCTTAATCTCATCAAATTTTTCTAATTTTATAGTTTGATCTTTGTTTTTAAAATATGCCGTCCACATTTCTGACGGGTCACATGGTGCAAACCCACTCTTCATCAGACAGTTATGCAAAAAGTCCCCATATAAACAAACAAACCAGGGGGGAAAACAACATAAATGAAAAATAAAAAAGGTATAAGAATAAATAATAAATATTTATTTATTTTCGTTTTTTAGGCACATGATATTAATGAAAAACTCATATACATATTAGAGTGGCTGTTTTTCTATGAATTGGTGCCATGCTGTGTCTGTTTTGACTGGACATCCTCTCCGTGCGTGTTATTATCTGAAGAGCAGATGTGCTTAAAACATTACAGCTTTCTTGATGCAATAAACTGAAATTAGACTCCTGCAGAGTGTGAGCTTTTGATTTGACTTATTTTCTCCTCAACATCTGCTCCATTTCTTTCTTTCTTTCTTTTTTGCATATGCTGCAAACATCACCCGTGAGAACGTGCTCATGTCTAGATTGGAAATCCCTGGATTGACTTGAGTTGAAAATCATCTTTGTGTGGCTCTTAGCCTGATTGATGATGTGAGGGTAAGTGCAGTCAGATAAGGAAAAGGCTCGTGTAGTCATGCAAAAACCTTGTTGTGATCACTTTAACATAGGAATTATTTTCTTTCCGTCCTCATGCTTGTGCCAGCTGATTCCTGTTATTGATCTACAGCCAACAACAGGAATCAGCTGGCACAAGCATGAACTTCCTGTCTGCGGTGATGGGTGCTTACGTCTGCACAGCGACATGTGTAGAAAGAAAATAGTTATTGATGAAACCGACCCAAAGATTGCAAACTAGCTCTGCCAGACCACTCGAGTCACCACTTACTCATCACTCTCCAGTTCATATGTGTATCATGTTTGTAGAGAAGGTAAGATGCCAAACTCTGACTGCATCGTTCTGCGATAATAAATCATCTCAAGTGACATCTGACTAAACAAAGTTTGTGGATTTTTATTGTTATAATGTAACCAGGTCTTAATTTCTGCAAAGAGATGTCTCTGCAGCCTCTCCACACCCAAGTAACTTGGACAGATAACCAGCCATGGATGGGGTCACTTTAAGCGAGCTGCTTTACTTGCTCTGCTGAAGTTTCCTTCTCCCACCACTGATTACACTTTCACGGTGAGTTACTGATCCGTCAGGCAGGACTCCCACATCTACATTACTCACCACATTTTAAATATTTTGTCTCCTGTGAAATGATGAGTATTCGCAGCCCCGGGGCTCCCTCCTGAAAACAGATCGAGTAAAATTGGGGAAAACATAAAATCATCACGAGCTGTCAAAGTTCACCGATGTGCATTTGAACAGCTGCAGCGAGGGGATGTATACGGCGAAGACATCATCTCCTTTGGGGAGCTGTGAAAAGGTTAGGAGGCACGGTTGAATGCTAACTATAGATCACGAGAGCGAGTCGGACCTCGGAGAGGCGCACGGTGCGAGAGCTGGGTGGTCTGCTTATCCACCTTATCGTGTGTGATGAATTATCACTCTGGGCTTCATAAAAAGAAAGCAGCTGACATGCAGCCCTTTATTTTTCAGCCAACATCCCTTCCTCCCACCTAGCTGTGTCATTACCCTCCAACATGTTACCGTCATTCACACAAGTGTTGCGTATCAAAGCCTGCCTACATGAGGGTACCAGACGGCCTCATTTACATTCGTTTTGGTTATATAATCCATGCTGGGCTTATTAGCGACACATGTTTTAAACATGAGGATCGCATTGAGAGGGAGGGAGACTGCATGCTATTGTTTATTCACTGCAGAGCTCTGCGTTCGGCTTGTACGATCTGAGGAACACTCACGATGACAAAAATCAATTTTACTTTCATGCTGGAAATCTAACAACACTTCACGTGTTCATTAAAAGACCTTTTAAGTTGTTTTGCTTGTGCCTGAGCTACTTATGTGTGCAGTAAATGATGGCACATGAGTGGGGGTGAGTTGGGTCCCACGTTTTAGTTGTTGGTCTCAGTTGGGTTTGATCACAAAGGATCTCTGTACACTCTTCCAGACCGCCTAAACAAATGTAAAACACGACTCAATCGCTCGGAAATTGCTGCATTTGCTCTTATTTAAACCGCTTAAGAACAAAAGCGGCAGAATGCCAAATCAGAGGAGCCGAGGAAACACGGGTGGCATCTGTTACGTGGTCAGTAAAATTAAAGAGAAACAATCATATTGATGATGCATGAAGTATCTGGATCATTTGAAAACATTCATTGACTGCTATTGATCCAAATGAGATCAGCGCCACTGAAGATGACCATCATTAAGTTTGACCTGAAGCACAGACTTGGTGTCTAAGAATAAACGGCACTACAAAGATGATAAAGCTATTTTTAAGGGAAAGGTATTATTTGAAGATCAGGGTTGATAAAGCTGCTTCATCTGAAACATCTGCCTCTGTTTCTAATTTCCACAGAAATCTCAACAGACAGCATACTGATGGAAACAAAGTTTCATAGTTGTGGGAAATTGTCTCACATGGGCTTTTTGGAGCCTTTGATATTAGATTTTTGTGCTACATGTCTCAGGCTATTCACTCTCTTATCAAGTGTAAAATTGAATAAAATGGGCAGGAAGTCTTAAAGAGTTTGATAGAAATGCCCTCTGAGGTCCACATCAGTCATCTGCAGTGAGCTTAGCTAACAGTCTGAAAATAGAACATAGGTTATGGAAAGCTCAACTAGAGCACACTTATCACGTTTATCGTGCTTGTTTACAGTCCACTGCAGTCTGTACGCTCAGCCAATGAGCAGCTCTCATACATAAAAGTGTTATCGACCTTCAAGTGCATTTCTAAACCTAATGATTATAAAGGCACCGCTTCCTTCCTGAGGAAGGTGGTGTCCAAATGTTTATCTGGCTTCTTTATATTGCGTGTGTGTATCTGTGTATCCATATATATAAACTAGCTCATTCATTTTTCATATGAACATATAAATAATGGACAACCAAAGCAATGTTAAAGGCAACTTTAAAAAATGCTTTTATCAAAGTTCAAAATGACCTTTAAACAGATTTATAAGAGAAAAGCTAAAAACTGTTGGGTGGCAGCCAGTCAGGATTAAAGCTGGCTGCACTGAAGAAGAGCTGCGCAGCTGTGCAGCAGGTTTGATTTAGAAGGGTTTTAGATTGGTGGCTTCATTTATAAAACATAATCATGATGAATTTTTGTGTGACTAAAGCAGAAAGTCATGTTTGTATAACTCCTAACTTTGAAGTGGGTGAAAATCTTTTCCACAGTGTGCGTCTGCTCTCCCTCCCACAGCAGTGATGATCGAGCTTCAGTTCATCTCGGTGTGGGTAACTTTTTTTTTTTTTTCCATGACTGCTGGTCACTGGTTTGGATTTGCCAACCCGCCATTCAGTCCCCTCAACGTGTGCTGCATGGTCATGCCTAATGACTGTCTGCTGATATTCAGGTTTCAGACAAGTTTTTCTAACACAAAAAGGTTTGGGGATTTGGGACACACTGAGATTGCTGTCTCACTGCTCTCTGACAACCACTCGCAGCAGAGATGATCAGGCTCAGTTCAGCTTATTGTTGCCAAGTTAGCGTCTGAACCTAGACACTCGGAAACCTTTCACGCCCCTTCAGCATCTTTTTAAATTTTTAAAAAAGTTCCTAGTGAAAAATAAATTGGGCTCTTTCACTGTTGGGATGAGCCACACCTCCCTCTGTGCTGTTCAGTGAGCAGCGGCATCCACAGTTTGTTCACTGTGATAGAGGCAGCGTCCTCTCTGACTGATCACAGCACTATCGATAAACTTATGCAGTCTGATTTTTACCAGACAACAAAATACGAGTCTCCATTGAAGCTTTGACTAATCTGTGTGGATTACCAAAGAATCTCAAAAGCTCAAAACTGGTATTCAGGAGAGCAGTACATCACGGCCCACGGTTCCTCCTGACTAAGCCTTCTTGTTTTCTGGCATTTTATGAGTGGATTCTACAAGACGGGCACCATCAGTTTAGGTTGATTTGAGATTTATAGATGGCAGATGTGATCCGCAGCTTCTTTTATGATTTGAATGCAAGTTCGGACATAAATCGAAGAAAGTTTTCGAAATTGGGCTCCTGCTGTGTGTAGCAAAATCACACAGAGGCTTTAAATCCAACATGCTGTACTTTGGCAGTTTAACCAAAGACTGCAGATAAAAAAATGGAGATACCTACTGTTACATCGTTAGTTTGTGAAGACCCTCAGCAACTGAGTGAGGAATACTGACACTGCAGGTTCACACAGGACTTCTTATCAACGCGTGACCTGCTTTAACAGCCTTTGTTCTACTAGTAAAACTTAAGTAAAGTAAAACCTAAAACTGGCAATTGAGACAATAAATGTAATGTTTTCTGTCTCCTATACATGGGGCCTTTTTTGGCAGTGAAGTTGCCCCCTACTGGTCGTTGGAGGTTATATCTCCAACAACAGTTGTAGTATGAAGATCAGCGATTGCACGACCAGCGCGTTTCAGCTTGCGGCCTTCATCGGGGTCATCGGGGTGATAAAGCTATAATGATTTTCTTTTTACTCTAAATGTTGTAGTTTTAACCTCTTCAGACTTTTTGTTCTTCTGCTCTGCCCCTACTGGCCATTACAAGGAATGCAAGTTTAGGTCACGTCAACAGTAGCTTTTCATTTCAGACCTGGAAGCTACAACAATACTAAAGGCCCTGCTTGTGCTGATTTCTCTGCCTGCTTCCAGCCACTAGAGGGCAGACAGGTCAACTATGACTGATTGGCCAAATTAATCTTCTTGTTTTGGGTGTCAACATTCAGTTGAGACATTTTTACAAATCATCATCTTACTCTTTGAGAGAAAGAGAAAAGGAAGATTTGCCTCACTGACTTACTTTTTTTTATTATGTCAAGCTAACATGCCCTTTAAATGTCCTCCTGCTTTTAGAGACTTGATCCCGTGAAACATTCTTAGTTCAGCTGACTGTACTAACTTGATATACCTCTTGTTGGGCTGGGACTTACTGTAATACAAAGTGAGAGCAAAGGTCAATAAAATAAGAAGACAAATTCAATTTGAAATGACAGGAAGGACGGAGCCCTGAGTTTACATCATTTTCATTTATGCCTGTTTGCACCTGCTGGTGTGAGATAGTCACTCAGTATTATTTCAGGTTGTGAACATGCTTCCTTGTTATTTATCTTGGACGGTAAGCATGGACTACATAGCAAAATATAAATGCACTTTTATATGTTCAACATCTCCAAAACCAGCGTTAATGTGCTGCTGTAACGGCCTCAGCTCTTCTGGTTTCAGGATTTCTATCAGGTTTTATGCCCGTGACCACTAATGAGGCTAAATACTGGTGCTGGGTGCTAAATGCCTGTGGCTCATCCCAAAGGTGCTGGATTGGGTTGTGGTGAGGGTTCCTCCACACCAAACTGCTGAAAGCGTTTCCTTACGGGCCTGTCTCTGTTTCATCGTGTTGAAACAGAAGGAAAGGCATAAACAGTCTGGAGGAAGAATGATTTCTAAAAGTGTACTGTGCAGTGCGATACACAGCGGGACATTTTTTAATTCGACGCTCTGACTTTGACTCTATGGTGTGGGTCACTTCTTTTTGAGCCCGTGAAAAACAGAAAACCTCATGAAGACAGTTTTTTTTTTTTTCTCAGCAGCAGCTGTGAAATCTTGGACTGAATCATGTTGTTTTTATAACAGACTTTTGTTGGACGTCATTAGCACTAAAATCTTTGCTTCTTTGCCCACCTTTCACTTGCCACCCACACCTCTTTACGTTGCTTGCATTTTTAAAATCTCACCCACTACACCAGGATGGACTGAGCCTGAATGTGTCATGAACCTTTAGCTGGCTTCTCTCGCTGGCATATTTTTTCCTCTCCCTTTTTTATGTTTTTAACCTTCCTGAAAACACGTCTCACCTTGCATCCTTTGGTACCCGAGCCTTCTCAAAGGAGAACTTTGGCAGACCGCTGGAGTCGTAGGTTCTTGATGTGGGTTCGGCAGATACCCCGGCTTTGGCGCCTTTCCTTCTGTTCAGGGTTTCCTTGATGCGAATGCTGAGGTTGGGGCTGCCCCTGCTGCTGGCTTTGACTGAAGGAGGCCTCGAAGCAAGACCCGCCGATGCTCCGCTCTTCATCACGTCCTGCAGTTTGTTGAGCTGGATGCACTTACTCTGCAGCTCCTCGCTCATCTCGGCCAGCACTCGTGTGTGTTTGGCCAGCTGCTCCTGGAGACCTTTGATCTGCTGCTCTTTGACACAAAGCTCCTCATCCTTCCTCTTGCCCTCTCGCTCCAGCTCCTCCACCCGGGCCCTCAGGAAATCCAGGGTCGAGTTTTTGAACCCACCGCCGTGATCTTTGTGCGCACAGCCGTCAGTGTGTTTGTAGCGCTTTGATTTCATTGAACCGTTCCCCATATTGGCACCTAGAGACAAAAGAGAGTCAAAGTTTGCTGTTATGATTTAAAAGCATCCTCCAACTGCACGATGAAATTTGGCACTAAAAGGGTCCGTCTGAGGACGCTAGAGGTGAGATTTCAAACAAAAGAGCTGACGCTGTGAGAGCAGAGAACACGAGAAAGACGGGAAGGGAGGAGAGAGAGATGGCAAATCAGTATTTAATGGTCAATGAGTGTGTCCTGTCCATTTATTATTCAGAAGGCAGGAAGTATTACATTACATGAAGAGTCACTCTGGTTGTGCTCAGACAGAAGCACGGTGAGAGGAAATGCTGTCCGGGGAGCTCATGACTGCAGAAATCAACAGAACGACTCCAAAGAGTGAAGAGCTGACATGGGGCAGAAATGTTGGAGAACAATCCTGTTTTTGTTGTCGCCCCCTCACACATACAGTAGACTTCATTCATGACATTCCTGCTGGGACGGTGTCACATCAGTCTGCAGCACTCCTGCACTTTATTCTGAAAATCAAACATACTGCTGTCTTTGTAATCCTGTTTCGAAAACCTGCGAGTGGAACCACCCCCGTTTATTCCCTTACTTTGGTGCTTCAACTCTTTCACACACTGACTACCAAGCAGCAGTGTGACAGCGCAGACTCAGAGCAGAGGCAGCACCGTGCTGTCTTTCACCGATTTGACACATTAAAGGTTGATTCTCGCCAGTTTAACTAATTAAACCTTTCAAGGGGAGCGCGCACCTGCAACTTGCAATGCCTAGTCATTCTCCTGCTGGGAGTGAAGCCTGATGTGCGCAGTCTCAGACAAACTGTCCGCACTCACCTGCTTAGTTTTCAGAGCCTTCAGAAGAGCCCGGAGGTTTTTCGGAGTTAAATGAAGGAACAACGTGTCCGTGGATCCGCGCATCAGCAGAGAGGCGCTCCACCTGCTCGCATCCTCTCCTCCCTCCGTCTCTCTCTCTCGCTCGCTCTCTCTCTCTCTCTCTGGCTTTCATCACAGTCTGTGCGGCGCGTTCTCGCACGCGCGTGCGGCGACCGGGTGTGATTGCCAGGTCAGGTGTGAATGACGTCAACCGTTTCTACACTGAATATATTGATTACTTGATGTGCGTCGCTGACCCCGATCAATTAAAAAAAATTATATAATTATATATAATATTTTCATTTATCAGAAAGCTTTAATTAAAGCGATTAAATAAATTGATTCATTAAATTGTAAATTCCTTAAAATTACAGAAGGCCAATCAAAAAGAGTTTGGTGAAGAAGTGAAAACACTACATGCACTATGTGTAGCCCTGGGAGTCATCCAACCTTCATTTCAACACATTACATATGTGTACTTCGTTGTCACCATGAGCCATGAAATGTTCCAAATTTATTTTGAAAAGATAACAGTAGATTGAACAAATGCCAAAAGATGCACCCTGATGGAAGCATCTGGAATTCAACAAGTAAAGGATGCCGAGGGTCCAAAAGGATGCTCAGTGCTCCTGAGAAGTGACTCATTTCATACAGACGCTGAACGTCTCTGAGAGAGGCGCCATTGTCATTTCCTCCAGTTTGCTCCCGGTTTTAAGATTAAGATTACAAACAAACAGAAAATGAAAGCATTGACTCAGTGAAGGAAATGGAACAGTTACATTACTGTCATGTCGACATTAAAACGCTGTACTTTTTCTAAAACATACATCCACATGTTTAGATGCCTGGTTTCAGGTAGAAGAAGCAGACGTGCAGCCTGGTCAGCTCGGACTCTGCGCAGAGAACAGAAATCTGCACGCAGTGAAACGTGTGGCTTGTTGTAGTGGAAAGAAACATGTCTGAGTTGTCATCAGCTTCCTCATTTAAGTATGAATCATGTTTTTGTGTTTTGTGTCACAGAGCGTGCTTCTACAATCACTCGAATCAATACGCTCAATACTTTTCTTGCTTCGCTATGATGGTTATGCTGCCTGATATTCGCTTCTTTAACTGATGTTACCAGATTAGATATTGGTTAGATAAATCATCTTATTGTGTTATGATTAAGTTCTGCTTTAGTCACGGGGGCCACCAAGGAGGGGGCATGGGGGGCACTGACCAAGCCCCAAAATTTGCTGCCCCCCTAGCAATACTGTCCTATGTTGGTAATAATTTTAATATACCTGTATGTGCTGTGCCACGCCAATATTTTAGTGGCCCCCATATGCCACCCCCATGTAAAATTCTGGAGGCGCCCCTGGCTTTAGCACTTCACATATTTGTAAGCAATGTCTGCACCGGCTCACTTTAAAGATGCATTAAGTATTTTTGTCCACTTGTGGGCAGTGGTGCAAGAGGCAAAAACAGCACCTGATACAGTGATATACACCAGCTATATTATGATTTAGTCATGTTTCTGACCACCTGTGGTGGAGGTCTGATATATGGTCCACAGCAGCTACAAGGAAGGAAAATATTTGTCTCTCGGCTGCTCCACTTTCTCACAAGCTTTAGGGGAAAATATTGAAGAGAACAGATTATGGAATTGTTACTGTTTTCAATGCTGTTATTACAATTCTCAATAGCACAGCCTTAAAGAAATACAACAGAAATCATTTGAATGGGTTAATCAGGTGATGAGTGTAAGTACAGGCTCATGTTCTTGTCTTGGTCTCTGTGCGGCCGTGTTGTCTGTCTAGCTTAAAGTCTAGACTTGAAGCTGCAGTCCTTCACACCAGCAAATGATTAATTGGTTTTCC